TTCACCTTATTGCTGCAAAAGATGTTGTCTAATGAATTAACCATTTTTGTTAATTGAATTGAACTGAATTAATACGTTTGCTCCCTTCCCCTTGATTGTCTGTGGCAGTTGTGGGATACATGCATAATTTATTTGTTACATTTTATTTTTCTCCGTATTTCTCTTATTGTTAAACCACATGAGAATAAAAATGAAGAAAAAAAAGAACAAATCTCATGAAATAATTCTTGTCGGTACCCCCCCCCGCCCCCCCCCCCCCCCCCTCTCTCTCTCTCTCTCTCTCTCTCTCTCTCTCTCTTCGAGGCTCTCTCTCGCTCTCTCTCCCTCTCTCTCTCTCTCTCTCTCTTTCTCTCTCACTCTCTTGAGAATTTTTTTTCTCTACCATTTTTCTTTTTTTCTAGATCACTATGACGGTCCCTTTATACAAGCTTCTCTCACTCCATTTGAAAGTAGAGCTCCCTGTAGGCCTATGTGCCCTGGGCCTATAATGGGAAATTCAATTAGCTATAAGCAGTGGGAAGTCATGACTTTGTGATTCATTATAGAAAACTCTTCGAATTTATGTGCACAACACATTTTTGGACATGGTAATAATATTTGAATAACGCTCAGCTATACGTCTCATATACAGAGAGGCATATAAGAGAGGCCTAATATCGTTCCCCAGTTGTTGGATGAAATAGCTATACCCCCACCCCCTCATTCACTTTATGCTTGATAATGTACTTTCATATTTTGTATGTTAATACTGATAAGCTATACTGATATTTGGAATTAATTACCATGTCATACGCACATAGTGTGCAACATCTGCACTCCACTAACGTAAAGATAACAAATAAGCGGGTATACCCATCTATTCACATGTATAGAGAGAGGCAACGTAAAGTATTTTGCTTATAGAGAATGCCTCCCCCCCCCCCCCCCCCCATTTCCTATGACATAAGATAATTGTGTGTTTTTTGTGTAAAGAGACACCATCCGAATAGGTGCATATTATTTCGCTGCATAATACATTGCAGCGATGTTAAATACACTAGAAAATGTTATTGTTTTTAGATTGCTTAAAATCGTAAAAAGGTTGCGTAAACATGACATCAAGCCATTTCTGCCGGACAACCTTTTATGTTCCAATTTGAAATGCCCGCTAAAATAGCGAAAAAGCTAGTAATAGGGTGGAAAGAAATGATAAGAAATAAAGATGGTAAATGCAGTGTTAAAAGGTAACCCCCCCCCCCCCCCATATTATCCGTTCACTCTTGCCCCCCCCCCCCCCCCCACCCCCTCCTCTTCAGATTCCTTTTGGGTTTGGGGTCTGAAAAGGAGCATGCATGTGCCATTTGACGCAACCTTTAGATCTTTTCAGACCCCAAAATGCATCTGCAAAAAGTTAATGAGTATATTTTGAACTAAAATAGTATGAGGCACTTTTACAACAGTTGAAGTTTCCTTTCCACCATTCATCAAATCTTTGGCGAAGCTTTGTCAGTACATGACCAAAAAATATGTTCTTTGTCATTTCGTTACAAACCACAAACCTAATAGAAATTCTATATTTCATTGTATAAAGTAACATTTGCTATATAGGAACCCGATAGGACACAACATGGTGTGAAATTAGGCCATAGTTACATTCGGTATTGACCAGAAGTGATTAGTGATATTAATGACACCCTTTGTAATATTGAATTGGGGTGTAATTTGCCCCACGTTGAATCCAGCCTACACAGTCATGCCTACGATCACAATAGCGATCAAGATGATAACATATTTCAATGACTAATATATACGTACTTCCTTATACATCATGTCACGGGAAAACAAACGATTGTCATTGCGGACATGACGCTTTAATAATCGACACAACAAAAGTGCAACGAACTTTCCTAGTATACATTGCATAATATTGAAGAGACTAAAGTATAGTTGTGTTATTTAATAGGGCTACAATTTAGTGTCTTTGATTAAATCGTGGCACCGGAATGTGTTCGCCCCCCCCCCCCCCCCCTTTAAAAAATGGTTTGAAAAAAGGGGCAAATAGCTAATCGAGGTTTTATGTCTTTTCTTTTTCGGGGGCTGTTTTGTTTGCTTTTGCTTTTCAGAGACTTATGCCCATCCCCTGTTTAGTATAAATCTGGCTCCGCCAAACCACAGGAAAGAATGGTGATAGGTGCGGATTGTGACGTGCATGTAGACGGGTTATCACGAGGTTGCGGGGAGAATCAAAAACAACACGTGGGAGACTATCATTAGTCACGTTTTACGCTGGTTTCAAGATCATCATATCAATACGAAATCGATGAACAAAATAGGCCTACGTGCCTTTATCGGTTTCAATCAAACCGCAACCAGCAAAGTCGTAGAATATTATGATAATTTTTCCTATATTCCAGAAAAAATAATTTGCGTAATGTGATGTCACTCACATGCAGACTCGTATTTCAGATCGTACTGCACATTCCTGGAAAAGCTATGAGACCAAGATGCTGATGTAAGGATATGGTCCCGGATATGGTCATATACAGTGTATTGGGCTACTCAATAATACTAACACAACTAACAAACTCGACTTTCATTCTTTATCCATGAATTAATACCGTATTAAACCAGTATTGTGTGCCCATTGTGTGCTGCTATATTTCACATAGGCTAACAAAAAATTGCACCCACCCCTTTTAGGTTAAACATAATCGATGCAATTTGATTGCATGATGAAGCATAATAATAGCCGGCAATCATAAATATAGGAATACTGGAAATTTGTATAACTGGACTGACGTGTATACGCCGAGTATAGATTTTTCCAGGGCCAACTTTTAAGTGCTAACAAAGCGAGCAAGTAAAAATATTGGCATGTACTATTATTTTGAAATACAATTTCAAAATAATCCTTAACCGAACCCCTGCCTTGTAGGCGTGTGTAATAAGAACGGAATTATACTGAAATGGGTTAACGCCAACGGATACGAAAAAGATTAAGATCTTGCCCTCAAATTTCTTGAAATATTCCTATAGTAAGAGTGTGCGTTTTAAATGTACACTGATATTAATCATGGTATTGTGTAGCCTTTAGCTCTCTTTTTCTCATCATGTGAAAAGTGTACTAATTATAAAAGAATGTCAGTGTTTACCCCCTTAAAGCCCCGCCCCGGCCTCCTCGATCCTCAAACCGTTTTACTGCAGATCGGGGGTGGAAGGTTTATAACATCACCATAATTAAAGAATTGGCTACCCACAGCCTATTTTCCTGCCAAGCATCTATTTATAAATACTAGTCTTCTGTGCTGCCATTAATGGTTCATTGGGTACATGTCACTAATATTTGCAAAGGTTAGGTTAGTCATAATCATTATATTGGCGTGTGCAATGTTACACCCGGAAAACCCCATTTTATATCTTTATTCCCAACATGTTTTTCCTTTCAATGAAAAAGCTTTCGGTCGTAAGATGGCGCTGTTGCAAACATGAATTTATGCCGAAACAACGACCACAGATTACTGAAAAATACGTTTTGTGGTACCGACACCGGACGATTTGTACGAGACTGACAATTGCAGGCCCGTAGCCAGAGTTTGATGTTTGGGAGGGGGGGGGGGGGCACATACATGTAATTGATCGACGTCCTGGGGAGGAGTCTAAAAAAGTTCAACCGAACTTGGAAAAAAATTGGAGGGGGCGAGGGGCACGTGCCCCCAGTGCACCCCCACCCCCGTGGCTAGTGCCTGGACAATTGAACAGTTCATCGGTTTCGCTCGCTTGATTGAAGGGGGAAATAAACGATTAATGAACATAATTATTATTTTGTGTTACTTTATTTGTTTGGTAAAAACGAAATGTATGCTTTTAATTCAAATGTACTATTTACCATGAAATGGGAGTGATTTATCATATAGTAATTATTGAATGATTGGTCTTAAGTGTAAATAGGTAAGCACCCCGAAAGCACCTCTCTGATCTCTAGAAACTTAGACTAAGATATTTAGGTAGACCTTTAAACTCAAGCCTCATTTTCTTCAATATACAAGTGCCATTACTGTAAATTTAGGGAGTAGCTTGTCTGAACATTTGTATCAATGTCTTCGTCCTGCAATCACTCCATCTGTGTCGATATTTATGCAGCTTATAGCCGGTATATGCCGGTATAAAGCTGTCCCACTGATATACCCTTAACTCTTAAAATTTAGGTATAGGCCTACGTGTAAAAACACCAATGTATAATATCACAAACCTATATTTATGGAAATAATTGATTAAGAAAATCAAAATTGCCCATCATGGTTTCGAACCTTTTAGCTTTCATGGAAATCGCACCCGGACCGTCAAGAAAAAAATGCGAACACCTGCTCTGTGCGTATCAAAAAAGTTCAAGTAGACAGCTATTTTGTATAGATCGAGTCGTCGTCGTCGTCGTCGGATGGGCTCAACATCCATATTCCTAACATCCCATCACTGTTCCACGCGTCCAGCGTATGATCGAATCTCTTTGGCGTCCAGGTTGAAGAGCGCCATCTGACGTCGACCACAACAGTCCAGAGAGTATACTGTTAGAGATGGGTTACTCTATTTTGGTAGTACATTCTGGATAAAATTGAGCGAGCGTGGAGAAGAAGAAGGGCCGCCCGAAAGGCCCATTTTTCTTGGTAATATCTCATGATTCAGCCCTTTTGTTTTGCCTGACAGCAAGGGTGTATATTTCATTAATTTTTTTTTGTTGATCTTGCTTTTCTAGAAATACCAGAGATCTTCCAACTCGAGGAAGCGCTTTCAGGAGTCGGCTGACATTCACTTGAATTGAACCCCGCTTTGAACTGATATTGAGATGAATTTCTAAAAGAAAAAAAGTATAGTAATCGCGGCTCCATAAGATGTTGTTGTTGAACATGCTTTTGAAGAAAAGGAAAACAAATAATTTCAATTGAAACAAAACAATCTCATCTACATTGGTTCAGCCGGGTTAATAATAACTTATGCTACTACTCAAGTATGCCTTAATTCTCTGTCTTGTCTATGTAAGCTCTGTGCGTGTGGTCAACAAACCTGCTAAGCTAGCTAGCTGAAATCTTCCCGGGTCTGCGAGTGATTCAAACAGATAAAATATGGCAACTGCACAAGTATTCGACTCCAAAACATTTTGTATAATCACAGGAGGAAGTCGAGGTATAGGTCGTGCCATAGCAGTAACATTATCTGCGAAATTTGGTCCAGGTTCAGTCCTAGTATTGACGGGACGTTCAGCAGCGGATCTCAACGAGACGCAGCGTCAAGTCCAGGCCACTGCGCCTGGCGTAAGCGTGAATGTAATTACCGCTGATCTTTCTAAAGCTGAAACCCTGTCCGATTCATTTTCTAGCCTGACTAAAGCTGTGAACCCGTCGGATTTTCAGCATGTGTTACTTGTTAATAACGCAGGAAGCATCAATGACATGTCGAGATATATGAGACAGATTACTACTTTAGATGTGGATAACCTGCAGCAATATTTCATGCTGAATTTAACATCAGCACTATTGTTAACCACTCACTTCTTGCGAACCTTCCCACACCGAGAGGGACTGCGGAGAACTATTATCAACATCACATCTCTCGCTGCTATCAAGCCGATGAAGACATGGTAAATTCAATTTAATCAATTTCATTTGGTTAGAATACAAGGAGCTACAGAATTTGTGAAACAAATTAGACGAATACTTATAATACCAATAACATGTCATGTATAGATCTATGATCATACTCATACTCATAGCTAGTCGATTGATTCTCCATTCACTTCACAGGTCCAGCTCCCCACCCCCATCAATATGTTTTACATAAAGATGTATTTGCATGTGTTTATGTTCATCCTTGTGATTGTAGTTTACAACTTTACAGAGTACATAATAGAAGAATTCCTCATATTATTAATGATATCTAATAGCATTGCATCTTTCTGATTTCTTTGTAGTGGTCTGTATTGTATGGTAAAGGCGGCCAGAGACATGATGATGATGACCTTAGCAGCTGAAGAACCAGACGTACGCTTCCTGAACTATGCCCCTGGTCCAGTAGATACAGACATGTATAGAGAAATCTGTAATGAGAGCATTGATCAGGAGTTGAGAGAGATGATGATTGGTGTAGAAACCAACAATGTGCTCCTCAAACCTCATCAAACTGCTGAGAAGTTAGCTCTTTTTCTGGAGGGAGATGGATACGAGTCTGGGGCGCATGTTGATTACTTTGATGTCCCAGAGAAGCAGGAGAATTCATCATCTTGAATCACATACATTAATCATCTATTAAATATATTTTTTGTCAATGCATGTCTACTGTCAATAGGCTGCTTCAAAAGTAATACATGAACCCAGTGATTTTTGGTGTTTCATGAGATTGCCAAAGATTGTACAAGGTTATGTGAGGTGTCCAGGTATGTAGCCTAAGGGTTTTATCAGGATTCATTTAATTTCAAGATTCGCTTGGTAATGCTTATATTGAGATCGTCCATGGTTAAAGATAAACTTTAGTACTGGTAATGCGATTGCATTGTGAAAGAAAAGGTGTGGAAAAGATCAGAAACAGTTGATCATGTAGCATGTAAGTATTGGTGTGCACTGCAAGGTTCCGGAGTCGTCAAAATCATAATAAATTTGACCGAGTCTTGGTAAAGTAACAAGCACTGTACACCGAAAGCTATATATGGGACAACACACATGGTGTCGGGGCTAGTACTACCTTGATTTCCTTGTCTTTCTATGCTCATTACTCAGCCAGTATACATTTTCTTCCAAAATTGTTTGGCACATGTCATTTATTTGTAATCTTGAACATTCACTGTAAGTTTCATTTGATTCTGTAAGAATTTTTTTTTTTTTTTTTTACCAGAACTGGAGTTTATCTTTAACCTAAACTAATGGACTTTCCAGGGTTTTGTAAGGATTCCTATGATCGCCAGGGTTGTATGGTAGAGCATTCTCTATTTTCCTCCATTCATAACACAAATACATGTACTTAAGTTGCAACATGTATTAAAAAACTATTGTGTTTATGGAATGACAATAGATGTATCTAAAGGTTTTGTATGTGTTACTCTGTACATTCCACATCAGAATAATTTATATTCACCACAAAATGTATGTGACATGGAGGTTGTTTTCTTTTGTTTAAATGAATTCAATTCCACTTAATTTATGCACAAAAATAATAATAACTTGTATAATAATAATAACAGTGGGTTCTTGTATAGCGCTCATGTCAGTCAGATTTGACCCTCCTGGCTTTAGCACGGCTGTCATACGGCACTCTAGCATTTCAAGGAATAAATTCCTACCAGTATAAGTAGAAATTTAATTTAGACAGATGCATACAAAAAACTATCAGGCTTTTGCACATTGCTAACATTGTGTCAAACATATGGGTTTAATTAAAGACATCATTTCACATAATAATCATGCATTAGAAAAGAAGTGCAGATCTCTGAAATGGCAATTGATGATTTGCTCTTATTTCACCAATTTCTATGATGTTTTCATGTCGGTAGTTGACGTACCACAGAGTTTCAACTTAATTAATTATACGATGTACAATGATTATATTCGTGTTTCCTTAATCAAATGAACTGTGAATTGGGTCGCATTTATTGGTGTCATACTACGATATGTCAAAACTGCTTTTGGGATTTACCGATGAGTTTTAGTTTTTAGTTTAGCATTCAATTTATGTTCAGGCAAAAAGACAAATTGTTAACTGCTGATCATCTTGTAACCAATTATATATTTCAACATTCTTTCATGCAGAATAAATTTGTGAGAAAGTAAACCAAAATTCTAAACCTCAATCTTATTCTTATACATTTATTTATTTTACTGTATTACGTCCACGTGACTCTGATATTAAGTTGATTTTATTAGGAGCAGGACAATGAGAGGAACAATGAGGTCAGTTAAAGTTTAAGCAAAATCCGATGAGACATAAGAAAGGTTATGAATTGTTGAAGTTGCGATGAACCAAACATTTAATGGCAACTCTTTGACTGACATATCTTGTGAGGTCACCTCCTATTTGCTCTGTATTAAACAAATATCGGAAATTTCTATTTTTGCCCCAAAGAAAATCTCCAATCCTACATGCACTCTAAATATTATTATTGCAAATATGTATTTATACAATCCCCTTTTAAAACAAATCCATTCCGTCACCAATAACTAAGAAAATGAAGATACGTCAAAGTGTTGCTAATTTGTGTTTTTACTGACGCCAACTTCAAATATTCATAACTTTCCAAGTCTTAATCTTAATATTGCTCAAACTGTCACTAATATGTATTTCTCGTTTTTCTGCTTTTATTAATATCAGCTAGTTATCAGGGTGGAATCTCCCATTTAGCTTTTTGTTATTAATGTATATAAGCGGAATTATATGTATGAAAGTTGAAAAGAGATGGGAAAAGACTAACGGCAGAACCCTTTTTGTGATCATTGGAATTAGTATCATTATAAAAGGCAAAATATGGGTACATAATGAGTACATGCGAATATTGTAATGAGAGAAGAGAACATGTGACAATAACTATAAGGAGAGTGCATTAGAGACTGGGTATGAGGAGAGGACAGTATGATAGGCTGAATAGGGAGGAAATAAGCATTCGCCACAAAAATATATATAACTGGTCAAGTAGACCTGAAAAATAAATAATACAACGTAAGACTACACCAAGTGCTCGTTTTTTCAAAATATTCTATTTTATTTACAAGGCGAACACATAGTTTAAGCATTTCTATTAATATATTTCAATACATTTTGTCCAATATAAATCATTGCAATTTGATTTCGGACATGCAAACAGTCTACTGTAAATTTCAATACTACTTAAATTGGTTCTATAATTGGCGACTTTGCAGTCTCCCGTCATTATAATTTAAAGCACACTGCTTATGAATGTTTCAAAAATCTTATATCGATCAGTAATGGAATCGAAGGGATTTTGAACATTTTTAAACAAGCATCTAATCGCCGGACGGAGTGCATTGGCATGCTTGGTGTTAATTGACACTAAACCAGGACACGTGACCCCCCCCCCCCCGAATCTCCACTGTAAATCCTTATAAACATACCATGTCGCTAATAAGATCGAGACTAATTTTATAGTGGGTACATGGACTTCTATATACCCTTTATCTTAAATTTATAAATTAACAATTGAACGTAATGGATTACAAACAGATTTCAATCATCAAATCAGATAGTATTATGAAAAATATACATTGAATTTATTACAAATGGATTGTATCGAAGCTAAGAAAGCGATTGGAATTTGTATTTAAAGTTAAGTGATGACATTGTACAGTCTGAAGCCATAATGGCAACAGAATTTTAAAAAAAAAATGATCAGGAAGCGAGTAAGGTCGGCATCTATATACCTATGATGATTAATATGCATGTACAATGTAGTTATGTTTTTATCACAATGCAGGGGCGTAGACAACGGAAAGGGGGGGGGGGGTCTCAACAACATTTGAACCGCGTTTTGACAATTAACATTATTCTCAAATTTGAGCTCCTGATTTGCCTGTTCACAAAGAAATTGATTACATATTCCTTTTAAAATAATGGTTCTTGTTTTTTTTTCAAAGGTGAAAATGCCACCAAAATTAGATTGAGATCATGAGAAAGAGCTTGGATTCAGTGGTGTAGGTATAGGCCTACCATCTTACATGGCGGATGGCATGTATAATAACTCTTCGAAAGAGACGATGTTCTCAGTGTCCAATAATGATAAACTACCAGATTCTATTCACTGAGTGTCTGTAGAGGGCAAAATACATTTTCTAGGATATAAAACGCATATTACGTTAACAAACAACAACAACAACACATCAGATGCCCCTGCACTGTTCAAGACCTGTGTACGCCCCTGCTGATATACATGGCACGACTTTGATTGTATGGCTTACATCATTGTATTGTATTTGCATAAGTACATAATACACTAATAATACTTCTTTACAAATTTGATTCGATGCATAAGATGATGATGATGTTCAGTGTACATCAAAGAAGTTTATTTGTTTTTCTTGTGTGGCACTCGCACTCGAAAACTGCATGGCAGTTCCGAAAGGAACAACATCGTTTATTCTATACCATCATTATTCATGAAACCGATTATTGTGAAATTATTTAGACTAGTCACACGTATCAATGTACGTCTAGACGTATAATATTGTGGAACATTACCATTGTTTCAGGCTTCACAATAAATTACACTTAAATGACATTAATAACATACATTTCATTCATGACAATTGGTCCCTTTTTAACTGATCAGAATGATGATTGGACTAATGCAATCAATTATCATTATATAGCGAAGCCAAAGTTTCAGGGGGCGGGGACAATAATCGAGCCAAGAGAATTTTGGAGGAAGGGGGCTCTTAGTGGAAGGGGGCTAATACGTAAGAAGGCCTATGTGCCAAGAAAAATTCAGAGAAAGAGAAATGAGGGGCTCACATTTACCTATAGAATGTGAGTGTGTATCACAAAATATACGAGTCATTTTCAAATCAAGTACATGATTGTCTATATTTTCCTGCATAATCAGTATAGATTGATGGTTTCTTGAATTAACTACTAGAACTCAGATACCTCTCACAATCATTACAATACACTGTGTAGCTGTCAAAGATTGGTGATATATCCAAAGCTGAGGGACCACAGCTGTTGCGTTCAGTTTCATTAAAAATTACAGAGCATCAAAATAAATACGTAAAATGATATAACATATTCGATGAAACATTTGTACTTTGATTTTTCGTCATTGCAGTTGAATAATGATAATATATCATTTCATCTAACATGAATTTTCTCTACGTATTGATAGTACACAATCCATTATGTAAAGCAACAGTTATACAGTCTCCAATATCATTGTATCAGCTGAATTAGTCTTCATCAATATATTCTCTTCAAAACACTGACGCTCTCCCGGACGCTCTCCTAAAAGTCTTCAATTTGCCAACATGACATGGAAAACAATTTTAGCGATTCATCTCATTTTTCATAATTTGTGACATCATGAATAATTATACAAAATGTCTTTTCTGTTGAATACCACTTTATATCATGCTTATTCCAGGTTAGCTACTCTAAGGCCAAGTAGAGAGACGGTTAGAATCAGTATGCGTCGATGGTTTCTACTACAAAATGGCGCAAAAATGAAAAATTCAGCGCCGAGGCAATCTCAAAGATCAGCGTCTTTAGTGCCTTTCACAAGACGGCGCTGTTCACTTCTATAAAGACTAATCTTTATTTGAAAAAGTAGTATTTTCCATAAATCGGCGCTATTGTCATGTCGGGAATGTAAGTACTAAGATTAGCGCTAATGATGATGTCATTCTATGTCATCCCTGATGCCATCTACTTATCGAAAGGCCCCGATAGTAAACGTCCACGTAGATTTTAACAGACGGCACCGGTTTGTTGGCGCCTACTACTATATTCCCATTTCCCAACTTTGACGTCCCTGACGTCCAGGCACAGTCTTGACGTCTTAGCAGCGCCATCGACGCTATGGGAATTCAAAGGGTACGACCCTGTAGTTGTCTTGTGTCCGTGGCTACTCTAAACCAAACCCTTCAGCGTTGGAGATAGCGATGGTAAGCTTCTGTTTCAACTGTCGTTTGCTTTTATATGGAGGCAAGATAAGCTGATTGAAGCATGTATGGGACATGGGAAGCCTGATACAAAGAGAAATAAAAAACAATTAACAAACATCAACAAAGTTTAATTAATTCGTGTTTCGACTTCAATTATAACTTCAGAATAAATCATTAATTTGACAAAGACTGACACCATAATAATGAGTCAGTTAAAAACCTTTGGAAGTTGGAACAAATTCGCCGAGATCATTGAATAATGAAGACTACCCGCCCAATGCCAGATATCATTGTATATCCCTTCTAACATGATTGGTTTAAAGTTCATGACACATGCAAGTGATGTTGAAAGCAAATTCCATTTCTTAATCTGTGACACTAATTATGCCTCCATAATAAGGTACTTTTCGAAGCGAACTGTCAAAATACATTGTAAAGAAAACGAATGATTATACTCACATGTTAGAAGATGTATCAACCCTGATGATCTTGAATGACATCTCACCCATACCACCTATCGGGACGCGATCACTACCAGTCGCAAACAAGAGTAACTTCTTTTGTAGTGGTAGTGGGTAACCCTTGGCAACCTCCCAGAAGTATCTAAGTGAGAGGAAGAGGAAGAGACATACACTCGCTTGACTTCATCTATAAAATTCCGGTATCACCTTTTATCAGTTTGTATAAGTAAAACATTATGAGATATTGAATGTTTATGTTTTGTCTTAAACATGATGATTTATTTCAGTGACCTTTCATCAAAGATGGCGGTCATATTACTACTTGCAAGGTAAATAATAGATGACGACATTCATAAAACTACTTAGAAAGTAAGGAAGAGATGGTGAAATAAGGCATTAACCTCCATTACCAGGTCCCTCGGAGAGGACCTAAAGCCGTCGGCCGTCTGGTTGCTTACTTACAAGCATTTATGCTTTCTTAGCAGTCAGGTAAAATGACAACCACCACCAGATGTGAAATCTGATTTTCTTCATATGACTACATGAAATTAGGTAAAGATGATGAAAATCTTACTTGATTGTGACGTCATCCTTGTCAAAGCCATCATACAAGGTCACCTTCTCCAGTTCCTCATAGTCTACGACAGGTGAACCACAAACTAACATCTCTACCTCCTCTGGGCGGAGCATGATGAGGGCATTGGATGCACATACACTGTGGAACCCGTGGTAGAACGCAGCAAATTGTTCATACACTGAATTGTTCATGAGAAAGTTCACGTACAGCTCTACATATTCTACGGAGAAAGCAAAATATTTACATCAAACTTTTTACCCTTTGTACTTATTTATTTTATTTTAAACAGCACATTTAATATACCGTATTACCCCCCTAAGCCCACTACACAGTAATGTAGGTGTCATTTCTTTTGCGCCATTTATTCTATCATATAGATTGCATTATTGCACAGACCAGGTTCATGCTGACGCACTCTCGAGGCACAGACGCAACTCTTTGACGCAGGGGTGTCATGGCCGACCATAAATTTAAAATTTGTAATCAACAAAATCAACAGAATACTGATATACGGCAAAACGATAAATCTACAAAACTCAAAAAGTAGACATAACATTGGTGTCGCCTTTATATCTGTTCACTTTTATCGTAGTATGAATCATTTTGAAATTGTGATAATCATTGTGATAATGAGCGTGAATAATTTCTTTAAAGCCCTATTCAATTTATCCGTAACACCTGAGATGTATTTTATTACCTCTTCTGTTCTTATTTGTGACCAAGATGTCTCCTCCGTTTGGCTTGAGGTCATAGGTCATCACTGTTCCATAGACAGGTAACGAACACTGGAATGTAAAGTAATAATTATATAAATTCACTCGGATGTAAGGTAAAAAGAAGCCCTCACCAATCGTTTCATAGAGGGGATGGTTAATAAACACTCTGGTATTCGAAATTATGTAAATTACATGAAGTAAGTAAAGTAAGTGAGAAATTTGTCAACGTCCATTGTTGCCGTAATATGAAAACTAATCTACTCATCTTCATTACAATACTTCTACAAATTATGCTAACAGCGCCGATTATCATATGGATCGGCGCTGGGTTGAAAAAAGGGGAAAGGGAAAGAGAAAGAGAGAAAGAGAGAAAGAGAGAAAGAGAGAGATAGAGAGAAAGAGATAGAGCGAGAGAGAGAGAGAAACGGTAAGAGATAAATCTTAGGAGAGTGGGAGCATATCTTCTTTTCACCTGAAACGTCGTACACAAGTCTTCTTCTACATCTCCATCGTACTTTAAGAGCTCCTTCAAACCATGGCAAAGATCCTGGAAATATAGTTTCAACAAAATTACATTTCTGCAAGTGTGTATATAGTCCTCTAAAGTCATGTCATAGAATGTTTACTATGTCTGCGAAAATCAATATTAACATCCCTTGTGTTGTTAACCGTGGGTTATCTGAGGATAAATCTGATAAAAACTAAGTCGAATTATCACTGAGTCTAGACTAAAGAACCCCTCAAAGAATTTTTGGAATTGATCATCATTTGAAAATGCGAGTAGGGAAAAATGGTCACTTTCAGGATCAAAATCACAAAACAATTATATATCTTAATATCTGTTATTACAAGGATGTTTAGTTGTTATACGATGAATAAAGTTTCACTTCTCATTAACTTCATTATTACTCTTGTTCAATCAATACCATGATGCATCAATAGTGTTCTTAATCAGATTTTTGTATGTTGAATTCTTACCGGGTTAACTTGTTCCAGATCTTCCATCGTGACTTTACATCTTCCTACAGAAGCTTGTGGTTTGTTGTATGGAACGACTGCTGGACTCAGAAGCTTCTTGTATGTGATAGCTGGGAATCGGATGTCTAAGATGATGCTATTGTACACGGCAAGACCCATTAACTATACCAAACAATTATTGTCAAGGAAACAAACTATTCACAGGAGAAAACATGGACAAGAAGAAGATGAGCAGAATACTGTGGAAAGTATGTAAGACTTAACATTATTAAAGAGGTGGTGCAGTAAAGTGAGCAGTGAGTGCATTTTCTTAAATTAAAAAGGTGGGGTCGAATTTTAATACGAAGGTAATAATCTTATTTGTCCGTGGGCATAGGTTAATTAAGGAGGCAACTATGCCCCCTCCCCACTTTTTCAGGTAACCCCAAAGTGACCTTTTAACATGGGACAAGTGCCCTTCCCATTCTTATAAGTTTCCCTTTTCCTTTTGATAAGTGCACCCCATTTTTTTTCATAAGATCACCTTCACTTTCTCATAAGTGCCCCTTTTCCTTCGACAACCGCCTCTTTTCCTGTGCAAAAGTGTCCCTTTTTCCATTCTCATAGGTGCCCTTTTTCACCTCTAGTAAGCGCCCATTTTCAGGTTCGAGAAGTATCCCTTACCACCTCTGAGAAGTGCCCCCTTCACCTCTGATAATTGCCCCTATTCAAATCTGACAGGTATAAGTTTTAGTTTGACGAGTACGCGGCGTTGTGGCGTGCGCCTGTAATCCAGCTAACAATGGAAGTTACAAACTGATTCAGCCAAGGACGCAGGTTCGAAACCGAGTCACGTCTTTCGGATGGTGACGTTAAAAGTCGGTCCCCAAACGTAAATAATCATATCGGATTGATACACGTCTGTAAATCCCAATTACACACCCACACACACACACACACACACACACACACACACGTCCCTTGTCCATTGTATAGTTGCCCCTTCCCCTTCTGAGAAGCTTGATAACCACATGGACATGATAATTCCTTGAAAATTATTTTTGGTTGCACACCCTTGCCCTCCACTTCCCCACGTGTTCATTCTATATTGTTCCTCAACATATATATTTTGTTTCCTAAGATTATAAAAAGAAGATGACGACATCAAGTTACATACGCATGTGTTATGGTGTTATGAGCATTTATGGTGCTTTAAATTGTTTGAAAGGATACAACTCCGACCAGATTGAATTCTTGATTACAGTCGGTGCAGGCTGGATTAAACCAGAAACAATGGGTCTTCTTGAAGTAAGTGAACATTCCTGTCAAAATAAAAGACATGAATAGAATAAAATGTTGCGGGTGTACGTTAGCATCTGAAGATGCACAACAGCATCCTCCAGTTTCAACCAACATTAATTTGCCCACTGTAAAATACCGGTTGTCTTCTTTTGTGAATGATCATGTCAATGTATTTTTTTTCTTCATATGATTTAAATGTATCGTTATACTCGAAGAATAGAATAAAACAAAATAAAATACATTGCCCACTTTTACCTCCTTACTACAATAACAAGGAAGAAAACAGTAATCGGGGGATCGTCTTACAGATAGCAATGAGCTCCTTTGACATCAACAGTTGGTTTCTTAACAGTTTGTATATTATATTGGGGTCGGGGTTCAGTTAAGGCTAATACATTGTTCTTTACTTATGAAAGACAACCCATGAAATTGGAATATTATGAAGTAAATTCTTACCGTATTCTTCTCTGAAGACCTTCCTGAGAAGCAAGAGAAACCACTCCTTGGTAAGACCACCCATATCAAGACCAGGTTCACCAGCGAACGTTACCCGGAGTTTCTTCTTCAAATCTTGCTTCTTATTGGCAACCTGAAATTCACATAATTACATAATCATTATAGCTTGATTATCAAGTTAAAGATTCATTTCTTACAGATGCATTTTGAGCGAATAGTGTTGACGTTCGTATATTTATGATGTTATATCGACAAAACTCGTGGTTAGCCGTAAAATCGTCAAAGATTTGGAATTGAATCATTGACATTATTTACTAATAAACAACAAGATTTTGAAAGGGGCCGTGTAAGTATAGGTCTATCGAAAACAGACAAAGTCAAGGAGTGTTAGCCACATATACGCTCCTACATGATGCTCCTACAACTCAGTGCAGCTTGAGCAATAACAAAGGAATAAAATAATCCGTCCTTAAATCTGTATAATTCCAAACTAAAATTTCAAGATATCATATTAGTGTTTAGAAAGATGAATTATGAATATTTACCTCGTGAAGTGAGTCTGAGACTAGATGTGAACGGCGTACTTTGAGATTTAGGAAGAGCATGTTCATATTTGGCATCTCTCGTTGTTGAACTTTAGCTACCAGAGTTCTCTGAAGAAAAGAAATCAAATCAGGCGATGCATTAGTTTACGGTTCCTAAAAACATTTCAAAGCATAGCTTGAATACTGTAACTGATTGTTACAGTTGTATCTATACAAAAAAGAACCATTGTACCGAAATCAAGTTTAAATTGTGAGCGAATTTGCGACTACTCGTACAAGCGAGAACACGGCTCAACTTGGAAGACTCCTGCTTTGGGAACATACTATGAAAGGGAAAGAGGTATTGAACACTGTCTTGTGGTCTCGAGAACCGTTCATACAGGGGCGTCGCTAGACCTTTTTCAGTGGGGGGGGGGGGGGGGGGGAGGGTGGAGGCCGCCGATTGCCGACAAAACTCAGTAGCCACGAATTACCGACAGATATAATAATGCCAATGTCCCAATGTCTAAAAATTTAACCCGAAAATCCTGGGGCCAGGAGCTAATTTTTTTTCAGTCCCCCCCCCCCCCCCTTCGCGGAAGCTTCCGTGTTACTTTAAATTATTAGAAAAGAAGACGATTCGTTGTACCATTTTCGACACTTAATCCTAGTCTGAATTCAGTAGCCCCCACCCCCCTCCCTCCTGCGCGAAGCGAGGAAGCTTTAACGTTTCTCTAAATTATAATTTATCTCTTAATCCTTGTCAGAATTCATTTTCGCTCCTCTCACGCGAAGCTTTGACATTTCATTGAATTATTAGAGAAAGAAGACGATTCGTTGTACCGTTCTCGACTCTTAATCTTTGTTTGAATTCACTTCCCCCCACCCCTTCGCACGAAGCGCGGAAGCTTTGACATTTCATTAAATTATAAGAGAAAGAAGACGATTCGTTGCACTGTTTTCGACTCTTAATCCTTGTCTAATTTCAGTTTCCGCCTCTCCTGCGCGAAGCGCGGAGGCTTTGCCGTTTCATTTAATTATGAAAGAAAGAGGACGATTCGTTGAACCGTTCTATACTCTTAATCCTCGTCTGAATTCAGTTTCCCCCTTTTATTAATTTATTAGAGAAAGAAGACGATTCGTTGCACTGTTTTCGATTCTTAATCCTTGTCTGAATTCAGTCTCCCCTCCTGCTCGAAGCGTGGAAGCTTTGCCGTTTCTTTTAATTGTTAGAGAAAGAAGACGATTCGTTGTACCGTTCTCTACTCTTAATCCCTGTCTGAATTCAGCCCCCCCCCCCTCTGCGCGAAGCGCGGATGCTTTGACGTTTCATTAAATTATTAGAGGAAGAAGACGATTCGTTGTACCGACTTTTAATCATTGTCTGAATTTTTCTTTTTCTTTTCTTTTGTCTCCTTTATATCTTTTTTCTTCTTCCTTTTCTCCTTTTCTTTTTTTTCTTCTTTCCCTTTCCCTCTCATTTTCCAGACAGCAGTGCAATTTTACCGACAATATCCTGACAGGTGGGATGTCGCACCTCCCCCCCCCCCATACACACCCCTCTTTAGCGACGCCCCTGCATCCATACCATATTATAAGAAGGTTCACGAAAAATAATGTCCTAATTTTTTTTGGGTGAAAGATAATAACTGAATGAGTAAACTTGAAATAAAAAGAATCCAACAAGTCTGAGATATATCCATTGCATAGTCATGATACAGTAAAAAGATTATTTCTGAATAGATTTTTATTTTTTAATTAAAAGATGTTATCTTACCCTGGCAGTCATAATCATCTGTTGTTCTGAATCTTTCTGCATGATGTTCCGTTTAGCTTGCAGACTTAGAACAAACGGATACTGACAGAATGTGAAGCTTGAAGAAACGAATAAAAATAAAACAAGTTTTAAATTTCCTCAGTCCATTTAGCATGAGCTTTGTAGACAATTCACACTCAACGTCTTGATAATATTTTCTTTCAACAATGTCTACATAATATATTTATAAATTGTCAATATTAATTAAACATTTATTTTTAACCAGCATAATGCATAGTTTTATGTTTGTTAAAATATAAACCAGTCTGCTAATTGCTAACAAGTATCCAACGTTTATATATTTCGATGTTGAGGTTATTAGAGAAATACACCGATTATATCTAGATGTTAATTGTCAGCATGCAGGCCTAACATTCATATTTCGAATGTAAGGTATCAACCTCATTAAAATTGTTTTGTTATCAAATTCGACTTACATTTGTTGATTGCCAACCGGGTTTTGCCATGCATGGTATTCCTTCATTAGATCGATGTTATCCAGTGTGTTGTTATAGAAACACGTATAGGGAACCTTCAGAGGTTTACACATTGAGTTGGATGCATCTAATGGAAATAAGATTAAAAAACAATGTATTCACCCATTTCATATGTTCACATGCCATAAATAACATTTGTATTTTTTTCGAGGAAATGAACACATATCTATTCATCTTCAACTCTCTGTATCTACAAAAGCAACAATAAATATGTTGGTAAAATGATGATATTCAAAGGGAACAGTATGAAGATATGCCTATTTTATTACAACTATCTTATTGTTTTGATTTTATATCAGAAGACAATAATAAATCGTTACTAGGCAAGGGTGTATACATTTGAATACGAATGTAGTTAGATAATGACCAATCGATTTATTGTTAGATATCTATTCATAATATAAGAGCAGCCAATTAAAACAGTTCCACCTAGATCTATATTATTCCAATCTCCTATTTTGTGTCAAACAATCAAAAGCAGAGTTAATTAATTAAGAGGTTGTTTGACTCACTGAGTAAGGCGAGGACTTTGGTAGCACTAGGTATCCACCATGAACATTTACCTACAGGGGGTAGTTCATTACTCTTAGGCGGGAAAAGACGGACGGATGTGAACTGTTGCAATCGTTCTACGATCGACTTGAAGTTTGCAGCAGGTAACCTTTAGTATAAGGAAAAAAACATCAGTAAAAATAATCTCATTGTTTAAAGATCTGACATTGTTAAGTACAAATTGTAATTGAGATTGTGCATTTTATGGCCATAGATATATCAGCGGCGGGCCTAGGATTATGTGACCAGGTAGGGGATCGGGGGAGGGGGGGGGGGGGGCACAGATCATATTAATGCTGACTTTCAAGGGAAATCACATTGTGTCTGTTCAGAAGAGAAATATATGTACTCTTGATAAAAATATTAAATCAATGGAAATAATACACGTATCCTTTAAACTATTAAACCATAATAATAATAATAATAATAATGATGCTAAACCATATAGCACATGGCACATTGCATAATACTGTCCACATGCGCTTAGGAAGAAAAGCAAACATGAAATAGGATACTGAGTTTCTTTTAACTGTTCAACATTTAGAATAAGTGATTTGACAGCAGAATTTTTGTTCTGTGTTTTTTTTTCTAAAAGAGTATGGGAGGCTATTCCATAAAACTGGAGCAGCATATAAGTATACCGACGAGCGCTCTCATCAGTATACTGATAAAAGCGTTTGATATAAAACAATTATTATATTAAGTTATTAAATGTGCTTATGTACCCTTTAAACCAGTGAACCATATAATGGTGATCATTGTCTGCTAAGGTTGAAAGCTGACGAAGAAGATGAGCAAATATTACAAACGTCGAAGTCTTGTCAAATTGGGGATTCTGAAAAAGAAAACAAAAATGGCTGTGTCAGTTGATGATTATCAAATTAAGTAATTGCGGAAATTCTGCTAGAAGAAAAAAAAATCGAATGCTCTTGTAAATCCTAGAAGTCTGTGTACACATCGTATTATTTTGTTTATAATAATGATTCGTAACTTCACGTTTTGTAGCTGTCCATTTTAATAATTTATAATGCGAAGGTCACCGCGTCGCCCATTAATTGGTGAGAAAGTAATCGGATTCCTATCAACATCATCCTTGAATTTAGGATGAGTGAATTAATGACAATAAAACAAATTTCAGCAATATCCATATGGTCCAATTATGCATAGCGTTAATGGAAAATATATGCATCAGGTTAAAGCATGGGTAGTAGGCCTATAACAATCGGAATAGAACCTTCCTTATAATTATCCACACAAATATGAAGTGGAAGTAGCATGTTTATGAACAACACGCTCAATCCATTATCTGTATTTCATCAATATCAGGTGTTTAAGTCTATGTGTATCAAGGGTTGATTATAGTAATAAATATCCAATCTCTGTATTAATTGACAGCAGACTGGCTTTAGTTAGTTATCGGCATATACTCTGATCATATTAGGTGAAAGGCAACTCTAACGTTACTGGGCAACCAGCATCAACAAGCTAGCGCTCTCGCTCCCTCCATCTCTCTCTCTCTCCGTCTGTCTGTCTGTCTGTCTCTTTCTCTCTCTCTGTCTCTCTCTGTCTCTCTTTCTATGTACCTATCTCTCTCTCTCTCTCTCTCTGGCTATTATATGTCTCCCTATCCCCCCCCCCCCCCTCTCTCTCTCTCTCTCTGTGTAATTCTCTCTCTCTCTCTCTCTCTCTCTGTGTTCCCTCTCTATTTGCCTACCACTGCCTAGCTCCGTTAGTATGCCAGCAAAGGGATTTTATTGACAATACCTCTTTACCTTGATATGATATTAGAAATGAGACTCGGTGAAGAATCAATGGGGCCTTCATTATGGGGTCAGCTAGTAATTATATTCATCGTTTTGATTGATTGGTCACATTAATATTGCTGGCATAGTTCGAAGCAGCTCCGCAATATAGCAACCCGGGCGAGGCAAACATTTTTGGTTCTTTTCTATAATCAGCAATCATTGTCTAAATTATACGCATAACACAAGTCATAGTACACTATGATAAGATATTATTCAAATACTACTAATAAAAACAGTCGATGACAAATTCAAATTCAATAGGCGCAACTCGAATTTGATTGATAATCATTACTATTATTGTAATAACAGTCGTCAAATTTCTGCCCTCGAATACTGTGTCTCTTTTTGGAGACACCAGCTCGCGTTCAAAAGCAAGCAATAATCATGAACCACGGCGTATTTATTAGATCAAGCACACAAAGAAAATAAAAGACATTGTTACCTGGATCAAGACTAGATAAGCTCTTAGATCGTTCTTGTCCCGAGGTCTTGAATTAAAAACAAGAAGAATATAAACGATTATAAATAATCATAGTTATCAAATATAACTAAGTCTATATCAAACAGAAAATCCTCTATGTGGGCATGCCTTGAACCATAATGCATGGCCCTACAGAGGATTTTTTCCTGTTGGGGACTGGGGGGAAATGCAATCAATTATTTATAATTGATTGCATTTTCTTTGTTTTTGTTTTTGTATTTGTGGGGGCGTCGACGTACCCTAGCCCCCGCTGCGTACAGTCATGTTTCAGTGGCTAAGCAATGGCCTCGTTACTTTGAGGCCCCATAATAAAAACCGTGTCGATCAGCTATATTAGTGCCCTTTTGTGAGGCATTAATCCTCATTACTGTCATTTATGACTTAAGGACGTAGGTCTCCTAGTTGATTAGCATAGTATAACACACACAATGCTTTAGCAGTCAAGCAAAACAAACACTCGCAAATTATTATTCAATAAAATCTGAGAATGTATACTATTATTTAGATCTATTAGGAATAAATCATTGTCAAAATCACTCCATAAATTGGGGTAAAAATAATTATTCCACCTTTATGACCAACAGTGTATTTATGAAATTAATAAGTTGAATTGAAATCTATGAGTTCGATACCGACTTGAGATGCAGGCAAAATAATGATGAATCTATATGTTGAAGCATTTTGTGGAATTTTGTTGGGGATCTTTGGTGTTTAGTGGGTGTGACAGCCCGTTCGCGACAGTCATTAATTTGCTGATATTGTTGTTAATAATCTGGATGCACCTTATAACTAACCTCTATAATAGTTAAACCGACCAAATCTATTACACATTTACATTATTGTAATTAATAACTTGAAAATTAGTCACAATACCAATACTTATTTATTAGTTCGGTATACAAATTTAATGAATGACATAATAGGCGACTCAGTCAAAGAACGGTGGCTTAAGGTTTCAACATTCAAGGTTCATTTATTTCCACACACAAGTGCTTTTTTGTTGTTTTAAGATTCTTACTTTTTGAGGTCTTTGAGAAGGCTGTTGATGATTCCTTTGAGTGTGATCTTCTGTATCTCAACCGTTGTTTCCAGCAGACATTTATACACACTATCAATGTACTCCTGAACCAACCCACAATCCTCAAGACTCTTTCCATTTTTGACTGGATCCTGAAAGAAAGGGGAACAAAAATCAATTATAACTCCCTTAAAACTAGGAGCTTATGACTATAAGATTATCAATATCAAAGAGGTGTTGACAACATACATATAGGCCGATGAGTCAAGGATAAAAATGTTTATGCAACGATGAAATTGAGGATTTATTTATTTGATAACACTCATAAATTATTAAAAATCAGAGCCCATATTCATAGAACCTTACTAAGCTTGTTGTCAGCTAATTACATAGGCTATAATACATAGTTAGTTGACAACTATAGGCTTTTAGGAAGGTCATATGAATATGAGCCCGGAAGACCATTTTCATTTACAGACGATATTCTCAAAGCGCATGCGTAAAAGTGCGACGCAATATTAAAGGGAAAGTCCACCCCCAAAATAAGTTTGTTTCGATAGAGGCAGAATAATAAGAAAATCAGGTGAGTGAAAGTTTGAGCAAATTCTGAATGAAAATAAGAAAGTTATGAATTATTGAAGTTGTGATCAATCAAATACAAATTGGCAACTCTGTGACTTATTATACGAGCTCTCCTTCATTTGCTTTGGGCATAATATTCCATAAAATCATGTTTTCTTCGTTATTAATGACGGAATATATATTTGTTCCTTGCAGGGGGAGTATAGAAACATATTTGCAATTATTATATTTAGGGTGCATGTATGGTTGAAATTTTTCTTGAGGGAAAATGAAAATTTTAGATTTTTTTAGTACTGAGCAAATGGAAGTTGAGCTCGCATGATACGTCATAGAGTTGCCAATTTGTGTTTGATTGATCACAACTTCAAAAATCCTAACTTCCTTATTTTTAATCGGAATTTGCTCAAATTTTCACTGACTTGTTTCTCTCATTTTTCTACTCCTATTAAAACTAACTTAATTTCAGGGTGGACTTTCCCTTTAATGTCTACAAGTCCGGGCGCTACAAGTACACAATACCCCTTGCCAATAATGGAATGAACTTCTATTTCAATTAAATCAAAATAGTACAAAATTAAATGGCTACTGCAAGCCTCATAACTGATTAATAAATTAGTCGACACAACATGATTCAATAATAACATACAGGCGTGTACAGTAGCCGGCGACGCATGCCTGCGCTGGAACATTCATTAGATTATAGTCGAATATTATCTATATATAATACTTCTAAGTGGTACACTAAATCAGTGTAGGCCTATTAAATATCTTTAGCGCATTATGCGGATGACATATCGATATTGTTTTCGTATTGCTCAGTAATTATCCGGGAACTTCAATTATCGATAATATATAGCTCGAGCAATATATATTCTTGTATCGCTTTTAGTAGTTTTCTTATATGTTTATACATTTTGTTAGGCGCATTCCCGGGATAGATATAGTATTATTGCATTGGGCAAATTAGAAGTGCAACAATGAATATTGCCATTATCATGATTATCAGTATTCATAATATTAGGCATACATGACGGACATGACTGTGCGCTATAATAAGCCACCATTATTATTATTATTAAGTCGGTTTTATTTCTGAAAAAGTGAACATATTCATTAAGTTATAGAAATTATGTGTCTCAGTTAGCTATTCAATGACTCATACAGGATAATGACAACGACCAAACTAATAGTTTCCAATTTATCATTTATCATTTTTAAGTGTTCAGATCGTTATTTACAAATATACAGCTTTCCCAGTGTGAGAGATTGCGATCCTTAATGCTGTCTCTCCCATGATGCAACAGAAAACAACCTATCCTATGAGAAGCCAAACTAAAGACAAATAAATATGTACACAATTTTAAGATACTTTTGTTTTGTTTGTTTGTATAATGTTCAATTCAGTTATGTTTTTTATTTCGTGTTGTGCTACTAGCTCAAAAGGTCGACCAACATAAACCTGTTCATAGCAATTCAAATACTTTTGTATTTATAAAGAAATAAACTATACTTAGGATTCTTAGTTACCTTGAATGTTACATTGATGTGTGCGAATGATAAGAAAGTTGATTCAAAATACTTTAGTAAGATCTTGGTATCTTTTGTAGCCTTTGATTTCTCCACATCAGATCTGTAGAAAAGGAAAGACATAATCATCATCATGGCATGTTGCATTGAGATTAGTTTCTATGGCTTCTCTTGCATTGATCATAATGCAATATCAATTAATACATACTATAATGAACAGTTCAAGACTGCACAATGCTAACACCCTACCTATCTATTTGATTTCCATGACACATGCTGCAGTATACTGTTTGTGTACATCCATGTCGCTATTATGTTTCTCCCTTCTTTATTATTATCTTTATAAGAACTTTCGGGAACCACTATTGTAATGTCTAGAACATGACTCTCCAAGGCTTCATTAATAATGCTCTGTTTTTTTAAATTTCGTTCAAAAATACGAATCTATATAATATGACTAAACTTCGAACGCTAAAATCTGCATTTGTATCATAATAGTCTGACATAATGTCGCGTTTCAATGTTGCAGAAAGATAGATAAAGAGAATGATTCTTCTTACTTGAATTCTTGTAGTGTGATCGGTTTGAATCCAGGTGCGACTTGAGTATCAGGTGTATGGATCTTACGGGCGCCATTTTGTGAGACCATAGCCTGTCCCGGAGTGATGCGGGGTAACTTCTCTTTACTTCTCTTCTCTGCGCTCTTCCCTTTCTCTTTCGTACCAAGATTACTAAAGAAGTTTGAGATGCCTGAAAACTTGGACCGAGCATGTTCCTGTTCGAAGAGAATTACAAGGAAGGCATGTGAGTATTATCGACTTCTGTTAAAATTGAGTAGTACATGAAAAGCGTCTTATATAACAAGCCGGTAAAACTTGTATTGTGTTTAGGGGAATAAAAACCTTATCTATTTCAAAGATATATAGGAAGATCTAAATTGACGACATCTTCACCATGAGGCTTGACATCAACTATAGGAGTAAAAATAAAAAGCAACATTAATACCTCTCTCAATGGAAGTGGAAGTGGGGGATAGATGTGAGAAGGACTTCACGAGAAACCTTATTTACATATAACAGCATCCCGTTAAATAAGAATAGAAAGAGAGTGGTAAAACGTCGATGTATATTGATTGTCTATAAACAGAAACACATTGAAGATGCTCCGTGTGAGAAAAATCAATGAAATTGACCGCACAGTAAAACGACAACGATCTTTAGGTGTTCAGATAGTATGTACATTATATAACAAAGAAATAATAAATGTTAAGACGTCGATAAACTATAAACAAAAATACGTTCATGTCGATAGTTTAATTTTACAATTTGTAACATGATAAACCTTTCCAAATATTCTGAAACCGAGTTTGACCGAACAAAAAACATCTTTGCTTACCGGGTTATTGTAACTCTTTTTAATGTCATAGAAAGTATATGTTTTTCCGGTCAGAACGATAGCTATTTTGTTTTTAAATGGAATGATGGGAAATGATCAATAGATCTGAATAGTGGAATGAGGTCGAGCTTAAATCTTGCAAGGTGCAATGTATTGTCTATTCTCCGGTGAGTGACTCATTTTTCTCCTGATGTTGACTGGAAATACCGGTCTGGTTACAGGAACTTCCTTTTAAAATCAAATTTGGTTTCGTGATTATCATCTTAACTTCGGTTAAACTTTCCTTTAAAAAATGATCACACTTTTTTAATGATGTTAGTTTGGTAAGCGCAGTACACTAGAATAGTGGGGAAAGTCTGAAGAGACAGCAAGTACATATAGGCCTACTTCAATTTCCTCTTTCGAGATTAATTGATCATAATATCGTTCCCGGAACGGCATCTTTATCATTGCATTTGGTAATCGTGTAAGTTTGCTACTTTTCCTTCACAGTTTACTAAAAGTGCCATGCGCAATAGTAGACATTTTTAATTATCTTTTTAAAGCATTAAAAGGGCGCTTAAAATGTAATCCAAAGGCTTTTGTTGCGAGTAGTTTGGAGCATAGATGTTTCTTCAATGAAGATCGGTTTAATTCACATCATAGACTCTGTGTATATAATTATGCCATATAATCTTCTATAGATGGATGTGTGTATTTTTATAAGTATTGCATTGGGCTAATAAATATATCGTCATTAGCGTCAAACCATGAATTTGTCATTTTCTGCACTAGAACAAAAGTCTACAATATTCTTCATGACCTAAAATTATTAAATTAAATCTAAATCAGTAACATGAACAACCATTATGATTTATCTTTATTTATTTATTTATTCAGTCTTCTGAGGGTAGTCCTTTCAGAGCCACAAGGCCTGCTTTACAAAGGAGCCCTGTGGGCGAGTGACAAAGTACATGGTAAAAATTACAACAACAACAACAACAAATAAAAACATATACATAATACATAATACACAGTTATTTACTACTATTATGTTAGGTACGTTAACACAGAACACGTTTTAGTTTGAAAAGACAACCTACATACAATTTATGCTTGGATTTAAATGAGCCAAATAAAGCAAGGGAATATAATTATATTTATAAATTGAACAAAACAAGTTCACTTAAATTGATATTTAAAAACAACTTTATGATTTATACTTTAAGTAAAAAGAAATTGTGTAGTAACCTTAGAATGATTACAACTGTACATCGAGGCACAACCTCTGTTGTTTACAAACGGAGGCAAAAGCAAAGCATTTTTGAAGCATTTAATTTCCGACCTGCCCCATAATAATTATTGCCGCCCTAATGCGCATATTATACTCTATTACATAATTATAACAAATGGAGCACTATTGAGAAGGGAATCCAACAACAATAGCATAATAACGAGAGATAATATCAAATGAAAATGAGTCTCATAACTGTACTGTTTGGTGATTTTATTTCAGTCTTTCAATTTCGATTGCAAAACAGTTTGATTGCCATTTTCTTTAATAAAAGATTTTAATTTACAATATTTTGCCTTGGCATGCTGAAATGCATGTATATCATTTTTTTAGTGTTGGCATTATAAGTGTGATATAGAGGAACTATTAATTATTCGTGAATAATACAGCAACAATTTAAATGTCATACTGGATGTAACAAACGAGCATCATGAGCGATCGAGAGGTATTTCAGAAGAAAGTTGATCATGACTTTATCATTATAATAATTATTTCACCCAGCTTTCCCTTATCCATTGATCCAAAACCCGTAACTCGGCTAATGGGAAAGGCATAAAAACGCGTCAATCATTTTCCTGGTAACCTTAGTAATTAATGATAACACAATTTTGCACGATACAATTTCTCTACATCTGCATGCTTTATATAATAGGGTTGAAAATATTTGTACAAAACGTGATTAATATGATTCTGTGCAATGTCACATATCATAATGCTAGTAATGTCAACTAATTGTGTCGCGTGTTTTAATAGGCTTTTCCTTATAATCGTTGTTATCAAAACTTATAACAGTCATATGAAAATCACCAAGAGATCACTTCGTTGCCCGAATACAATGTATGATATAATAGATGCCCAACATTTAATCACATATGCCTATGTTTTAAACACCGATTCCATACGCATTCCAAAAACGAAATATCACATTACTGTTTTATAGATTTATTCAGTCTGACAATGTCCGACCAAATAAAAATTCAGTATATTATAAATATAATCATTCAAGTTTTAGGCCTACGTATGTTTCTTTCCAATTTCTTTACAATGACCTCTTGGTCAAGATGACCTGCATCAGCTACCATGAATTTGGTTTTGTCCTGCAAGGGCTACTACGTTACCTCTGTTAGCATATTCAGGCAAGTATGATCAATTAAATAAAAACGTGGTTACTAACGGTGACACTAAAGTTTGTCTGACATAGCAAGGTCTATAATCTGCACTCTGACGAGATTATAATAAAAAAAAACCTGTGTAATACAGCATTTAATTCTCTGAGAAGCGGCGTCCATAAAATGGTATATTCGACCATTATCATCAGTGAATTGATAAACTAGTTTACAAAATATATATTCAGATGTTATGTATGAATGTAGACCTACACTGTAAAAAAATAATAGTCGAAATAACTCAATAAAATTGAGGAAAAGAATTGCCTTATTTTTATTAAGTAAATATTACCTACGGCATCTTAAGTAGAATTTACTTATTTTGCTGAATAAATGTTTACTCAGTTAAATCGAGTTACATTAACGTAAATAATTTAAGTATTGTAATCATTTTAGATAATTAAAAAAAAGCTATGATAGGATTACATATTGCACGAATCACTAATCACTAACACTTCTTCTATTTAAGATTTAACCGTATATATATATATATATATATATCTACCACCATCACAAACTATTACATACGCTTCAATTTGACACATATTGAAAGGCTCCAAATTTTATATATACTTGATCGTAGCATCTTAAAAAGAAAATTGGTTGACAATTTCTTGAAATATCAAGTTTTGATTTGTTTTGAACTGGGTAACAATTAAAAATTGTCTTGTCTTTGCTTAGCCATGTTAAATGAATTAATAAATGTTTTAAAGTCCTTAAATTTTCATTCAACCACAAAAAAGAATTGTTTTATTTAAAAAAGAGTTTAATTTGGTCTTAATGAATATTCATAAATTATGTAAATATTTCTATTACGCACTGCATCGGTCCTTACTTTAAAAAGATAAGAATAATCAACATAAATTGTTTGAGTAATTCGTATAATTTCTGATTTTGAGTTAAAATTACTAAATTAATACAAGCTGAAATTACTTAAAGTTCTTATGTATTTGATTTTACTTAAATATTCCACGTATGTTCTACTAAATTGAAAGTTTGAGTTAGCAAGACTTAAATTTAGTGCGTAAGTGGCAAAACTCATGTTTTCAAGTAAATTCTACATGGAAAAAATACGTAAAAATTACCAATGAACAAATTCTTTTTTACAGTGTATATGACAATGGTTAGTTGGTGATTCCAAGCTTGCGACACACCAACAACCCATCTACGGAACCTGCATCTGTACACTATAAAACCAATTCGTATGCAGCAGCAGATGAATATTTAATAGTTCATTATTCCTTCGGGGAAAAAGGTGTCCATGAAATTAAATAGATCTGTTGCCCTTTTTTTCCTTCTTCTAAACTGACTTTTAGACCTTCTAAGATGTCAAGTGTAGCCACATCATTCTGCTTTTTGCACGTCCCTGCAATCATGATTACCGCAGCATTGCTAAAGGGACCCATTTACAAATGGTCGAGAGGGACAAAATAATGTGAGCAAAACGCCTTGTCCAAGGATGAAAGCACCGAGCGAGGATCGAACCCGGAATCTCTAGTATGAGAGTCAAGAACCTTCACCAATATAACACGTGATCCCACTATACCAAAGTCGGAACTGGGTGTACAGTGGGTAGACATAACTACAAAATGATAACTTCCGTATTTAGATGAATGTAATTACAATTATTGATATCTACAATTTAAAAAAGAGTCAAGCTGATTTGTTGAAATGTCAACAAAAAGGAGTGCATGAAAAGTGTATCCGAAAATTATACTGTTGATAATAACATTATACAAAACAATTCATATATATAGCGCCCTTTCAAAAAGCAGATACAAAGCACTAGCGAGAACATAAACATACAAACTTACCAGAGAGACTTTACATTAACTTTAATCAGTTATTTCGAAGTAATGAATGGAAAACAAATGTTTATTCTATCATTGTAAAAATATGAATCAACACATATAGTTCAAAGCTAAAATACACGGTTAATACCATGCAACTGCACTGTAGCCCATAAAGTTCGAATACTATTTTATGTTTTGTTCTTGATAGATAACGTTCTGAGAATAATTATTAACTTTATCTATCCGGAATAAATCATATTCTCTCAATCATTTTATGAAAAGAGGTAAGAAATCTTATTTGTACTTTATAGGCAACAGTGTATCACGCCGACTACGTCATGTACCTCATCGCAATTTTATTGTGCTCGTAAACATTAAAGGTAGATGGAGGATCAGAAATAAACTTTGTTAATGTGTCTTGTATAACCCCTATCACAATAATGATAACGATAATAACAACATTTTAAAATACTATCTATGTAACTACACTACTACATCTACTACTACTGCTAATAATAATGACACTTCTTCAACTATTACTTTTACTATACTACCACTACTTCTACTTTTCAAAATAATATCAATAATGATAAGAGTAATTATTATTGTGATAATAATAACAATAACAATAATAATAACAACAACAATAAAAGTAATAATAACAATATCATAACATATTATTCATGATAATGATATTAATTATATCAATGATGACAATCATATTTTATTTTCTTCATCGCCATGATAAAGAGTATGATCTTACCTCATTGGTAGGTGAGGATGGATTACTAAGAGGAGGTAGACTTGCTCCACTGTTTCCCCGATCTCTAGTAGCCTGCATAGGATGCATAGGGGCAGCCACTCGACCTACTAATTTACGACCGCAGGATGGACAAGCAACACGTTGACTTTGTAAACCTTGGCTAAATGTCGTCTCACACGCTGCACATATCTGTCCTGCCATAGAAACAGCCATACCATTCCAAACTATAACCCTAGTCTACATCTTTCTTCAATATCACGCATATTCTGATATTATAGATGCTATTATAATCATTTAGATGCATATGACCAGTGGTGATGTATCCTCATGGCGCAGATGATAATACAATGTCACCCCACCTCCTCGATAAGTTAAGACACTCTACTGGTATACTCTGATCCTCCGATCAATCAATATTGCATCCTATTTTATACAACAATACTCTCCCTTCAATACGCCCCCTTTGCGCGCGGACAAAAGTAGAAATATTGATTAATTCCCTAGCTCTATCGTCTCGCTGTTACCAAGGTGATTGTCAACCATTCTCTCCGTGTTCTCTCCGTGTTCGCTAGTTGCATACCAAGCTATCGCTGCTATTAATATTTGAGCTTTGAGTGAGTTTGCTTATTGCTTGCCAAGGGCGCTCTTTTTGTTTGCACGAGATGGCAATGTTACGGAAGCTTATTAAAATGTACAACGAGTGTCTTGTTTATCTCGCCATGCAAGGCGCCATCTTTATCTCGCAAAGGAGAGTTATAACCAGTTATAACGATGAGAAGGCGACTTGTTGGCGATTTTTTTCCCCTTCACATTCGCCTTTTTGCTGCACGTACTTAGTAAAATGTCGTACCATAGTCGTACAGACCAATTTTAGATTGGAATTTCTGCGGAGTTACTCGTCTTTGCAACTACAGATACTGGGCACCAAACTCAATACTGGGCGTACAAAAAAATATGATTGACACTCAACTTCCCACGATAATAACACATTCAATATTGATTTCAAAATAAAATTAAAATCAAAGTGAACTTTGTGCATTGGGTATTTTTACCCGGAATAGTAGTCCGACAGTAGCAGTTTCCCCGATAGTAGTCGTACAAGATTTCCGTGTTTTGTTTTCATTTGTTTTAATTGTTGACAGATCAAAGCCATGAAATCTAAAAGCATTCAAAATAAATTCACAATACGACCATTTAATTATGAACCATACCTGCCATTTTAAACCATCGTATTCAAGCAATAGAAAACCATGGAATACCAACAAAGCAAAACAAGTTGTGAAAGGTTAGAGATGCATTATAAAATTAGTATTGTTGTGTTCTGAATTAATCACTTTCTAGAGTTTCACGAGGCCACCATCACTTAGTCTTTCATTTCACTTCGAATCAATTATATTGGTGTAGTACTCAAATCAAGAATGTATATATATATTTGGGGGGGGGGGGGGCTGGGAGGGGGTGAGAGGGGGTGGGGCGGAGTAAACTATAGGCTCTATCGTGCTCTCTTGCTCAATAATAGTATATGCTGGTTATTGGTAGAAATAGCATTGATTTGAGAATACCACAACCACAGTAACAGCTGTAACTGTGGTAAGTTAATTATCGTCGATATGAGTTAAAGTATATATTTCGATATGTAGCAATACTGTCATTGTCACTGCGAATGTTTGTTATTTAAGTTGATTTGTGTCTTCTTCTTCTTATCGAGTCACTACACAAGTCCCGTCCAGTGGTCCACACAGGCTTTAGCACGGCAATTAACGGCTTCCAGGTCATCTTGGGTGCATGGCTCTGGCAGGAGTGGGCAGACTAGCAGGTGTTCCATTGTCTGTTCCTGGCCGCATTCACATGCCGTTTGTTCGTCTCCTAGACCCCATCTCTGCATTAGGACTCTGCATCGACCGTAGCCAGTTCTTAGGCGGTTGAGGCTAAGCCAGGTAGGCCAAGTCTCACTGGAGCCGGTTGCGAGGGATTCCTTCGGGCTGAGGGAGAGTTTATGTGGAGTGGTCTGAAGGTGGTTAGACCACAAAGTCATCCTTTGGTTGTGAGGGCTAGTATTAAGAGGCTCTACCGAGTGCAGAAAGCTGTGTCTGGATTTGAGCCGCTTGCCCACTGGCTGTTGTTCGAAGAGTGGGTGGAGTGGATTGTTTTCTTGTTTGTCCTTTTCTTTCTGGGACAAGACCAACCTTCTGACGTGTGGAGGGGCAATACCGCAGAGCAGGTAGATGTCTTCTACTTTAGTTGGCCTTAGGCATCCAGTGATCGCTCTGCAAGATGAATTTAGAGCTGGGTCAATCTTGGGTGCATGGGCCGACCTACTCCATACTGGTGATGCATACTCCGCAGCAGAGAAGCAAAGCGCGAGGGCTGTCGTCCGGATTGTTCTGGCATCAGTCCCCCAGTTGGTGTTGGCTAGCTTCTTGAGGATGCTGTTGCGGGCTCCAACTTTTGCCTTTGTGTTGGCAATGTGGTTCTTGTAGGTAAGGGAGCGATCGAGTGTGACGCCTAAGTAGACTGGGTTGGGAGTGTGCTTCAGCCTTTTCCCATACCAGCTGATCCTTAGTTGATGGTTGGCATCCCTGTTCTTGAGGTGGAATGCGCTTATCTGAGTTTTATCAGGGTTAGCTCTCAGGTGGTTGGTCGCATAGTATGGGATGAGACCGGCCAGGGCATCACTGAGGGACTCCTCCAACTTCACAAAAGACTGGTTCTGGGTGGCGATGCAGAGATCATCGGCGTAGAGAAAGCTCCTGGTGTTTGGGTGGATCGGTTGGTCATTCGTGTACACGTTAAAGAGTAACGGTGCGAGCACACTTCCTTGTGGTAAGCCATTTTTCTGTCTGCGCCATCTGCTGCGATTCCCATTGAGAACCACAAAATATCGCCGATTGGACAGCAACGTCTGGATGAGTCCAGTCAGTCTCACGTCCTTTGTCAGCTCAAAGATCTTCCTGGTAAGGATTCTGTGGTTGATTTGTGTGATGCGAGGAGAAGCATAATTACTATTTCTAATAACGCAAGTCTGATAACAAGATGAATGTTGACGTATTAGATGGCCCTCTTCAATCTCCGTTATTTCTGTTTAGATTGATTGGGATAAGATTTAAATAGAGGCATTTATCAGACGTGTGAGAAGGGGGCATTTATGAGAAATGGAATTATCTCTCACTAAAAAGAAAAGAGGCATCTATCAGAAGGAAAAAGGGCATTTATTAGAAAGACAAGGGGGCGCATGTAAAACATAAAAGAGGGCCATTATGAGAGGTGAGAAGGAGCAATCTTCACGGATGAAAAGGGACACTTATAAGAAGGGCAAGGGGCACTTATTGCAAAAGAAAAGGGCACTTGTTAAAGGAAAATGGGCACTCTCTCATATAATTAGTAGGGGCAATTATCATCGGTGAAGGGGGCACTTATCGGAGGCGGTAAGAGGTACATTTCCCATGTAAAAAGGGACACTTTAGGGGTACTTGAAAAAGTAGGGGCATGTGCCCTCCCCCCTCTGCTTCTTAAACAAAACAATTTAATTTAAAATGGAAATATATCGTGATACTGTTGTTCCTCTTCTTACCATAACCCTGAAATAGCTCCCTTATTAATGTTGTCAGTATCTGCATTTCTTAATCTTTTTTTTGTGTCGTCATATACTCATTTGTTATAACAAAATGTTAGCAATAATCATGCCGTATTCTAATTTTCTTTGTACCCCCTGTCTCTTTAGTATTCGACTATTTACCGACTCTCTTTCCTTTCTCTTTCTCAAAGTATAATAAATCTCCTCTCTTGTTACTTTGGTTTCATAATACAATTCATTGTTCAAAGAATTTTATATGTGTTGTGTGGTTTGTAATCTTACATCATGTCATTGTTTGATTAGTGGTACTGTGAGAATATAGCCGCTGGAGAAATATCCAATCAGAAGTTTGGACGACTCTATTTAATCGTGTCATGGCATCATTCCCACACAACTCTTCTATCCTTGTTTGTGGAATGAGAGTTTACTTTTGGTAAGCAAATACAGACATACTAAAGCTTTTCGTCTTGCACTCATCAAAGTAAAGTCGCAAGAATGAACAGGAAGCCAGAAATAGACAATATAGACGGAAGCTAAAGAAACGAAACGTGTGGTAAAATCTTCTCTTTTATTGGTGCTCACTCTTGCATTTTCTTTGATGATTGCAAGGTGAAAAACTTTAGTATGTCTGTATTTGTTACTATACTTTGATTTTTAAGAGATATATTTTGACAAATCGTATGTTTGGAGCTTGAAGGGCGTCAACACAGAGCCCTTTCTGGCTCAAGACATTTTTTTTTTTTTTTTGGGGGGGGGGGGGGGGGGGGGCGGTGGCAGGTGAAGTCACTGAACCTGGTTACACATTTCCTGAGGGGATCTACGGCGAGTAATGCAGCACTCCAAATTCCAGAGATTTATCATATCATTATTGGTGAAAAACAGTGGTATGCTTTCCTCATTTGATACACATTTTTTCTTGTAGCTAGCATTTTACAAAACAAATGAAATATTTCAGACAGAGTTACATTTTTACAAATCAATTTTTATTATGTTCCCACTGATGTTCTCTACAAAATTCCCACATATTACCATACCAGTGCATGTAGTTAATTCACAATCCTAGTTAATCTTTGTCAACATACAACCACAAAATACTAGAACATCTATACATTAAACACAGTGCTTAATTTGGCATTTACAAACCGTTGAGTAACATACTAAATAATCTCAACAATTTCAATGAGAATATTCTTTTACATGTTGTACAATCATTTTAGACACAAACAACATGCATCATCTCTATACATGTATATGGTTATGTCTTACAATTTGTCAACTACAGACTACTCTCAAAAAAAAAATAATAACATAAAAACATGACATTTAAAAAAGCTTTTCTAAACTTCTATAAAGCATAACTAGTCACCATCGAGTGCATGATATTTACATCCCTTTGTTCACAATTTTTTTTCCTTCACAACTGACGATAAGAATATTTTAACATGCTTGGTTGCTGGACATTAGTCCTCATGAATTCTCTTTTAACATGGATCATTTAACCTAAGAATGAATATGATAAAATCATCTCAATTCACATGAATATGCTGTTTGTGTATTACACACACACATACTATTAAATACCTTAACACAACATGACAATCACACAGTGGTGCACCTTAATAAGAACACTTGAAAGTTTGCTGCAATTTACATAGTAAAACGGGTAGATGTTACTCTAACTCACAACCATTACGCTGACGCTGATTATCAATAAGCTGCAACAATATATCTTCTTCTTCTTCCTTTTTTTTAATTTTACAAATCAATGACTCCATCTCAGTATTTCAAATAAGTTTCATTCCCATGCACTGTTAGAAGGTGACTGACATACAGGTCTAAAATGGACATTACAACCAATCCGGTGCAAACATGATACATACAGCCACATCTACTTTCTACTTCAACTTGATAGAGTATAATACTTGCACACTGATTTCATCAGAGGTCTACATTACACATACATGCAACCTAAAGTAGTTCTTATTTGCAACCTAACCTAATGTATAGTGATACACTATTTCATTTAATAATTAAATTTGGGAGTAAACTAGAGCAAGGCACAAAAGGAGAAATCCTGAGATGATTATTATTCTGGGCATAGTTACATAGATCATAAATGGAGCAGATTTGTAAAGCAATGCCTCATGCTACATAGTTACACAGAGTTTAGGAGATTGGATAGTTCACAGGAAAAAGTTCTAAATATACAAAGTAAACACGGATTGACTGTCCTGTTAATAATGCAAGCCTATGAGCTTTATGACATGAAAGAAGTACTGCTCTGAAGAATGTGAGATTTTAATTAAATTTGGCTGCAAATAATGCTAAGAACAACTCTCTCTCAATTAGAATACAGAGCAAACTATATGTCTACATTACAACATTGCAGGTCACAGATCAAACATTGCTGTCAGAGAGGATGGAGCCTCATTAATACCCTATAGAGACATTACTTCACAGGTTTTCATTGAATAGTTGCCTTCTTGAGAGTATCACAGATGACATCATCTATGCAAGACACTCTTCCAAAGGGTTAAACATACCATGTCAATGTAATTTAGTCATCCACATACATGTTGGGTAAATAGTCCTGTTAAAATTCTACAAACAAGATAACATGAAACGAAAACAAATGTATATTTGCGACAAGGTTGTTCAAAGGCTCACCACTAACATATCAATAATCATCCATACCTTAGATCATTGTTAAGATTCCTCTGGAACCACCAGAGTTCTCTCTTTTCCTTTTTATCAATCATACGTGAGGCTTTTTATTCTCATTCAGACTTTTCAGGATTATGCACAGATAATTGTTGCACCAGCACAGAAATCTGTCCTTTGTGTGCACATGCTGCATCTCTATAATGGTATTATGAAATGGTATTATGTCTTTTGCAGCAAGTTAAAACACATCGCCCATAAGAAAACTCAGCTGTGTGTTACCATCAATTTTTAATCCAAATAAAGTGGCATTGATTGAAAACATTTAATGAAATATAAGGGATAATTATATAATATAAATAAATTAGATTACTTCTGTGACTAAAAGTATATTAACCAGTCCACTTTAAGTGATGGGTCAATGATATATTCCCTACACATATACATCAGCAGAGTCATTTCAGTTCAAACTTCATGAAGCAGACTGCTTTGATTATGATTGGGCAAGGGAGTGATGTCATCAGAAGACTAACCAATCAGAGAGATCTACATACATTTGTTTGCTTTCATATTGCTATTCTTCATAGGGTCATCAAACTTTTTATCTCTACAGAATGCTTGTACCTCTACATAATTCCAATCAAATTTTGAGGTATATATTGCAAATATTCTCTTTGAGAAGTCACTAAATTTAGTTCTCCTCAAATAATTTTGTGAATATAACCATATAATCTATCAGTAACTTGTTTCTTATGACTTGTATTTACAGAAACTCCAAAAATACCCTTGTCAAAAGATGTTCCGTGCACTTTCTCACTCTTTTATCTCTTCCTTGTACGTACACAGTACAGACATCCATTCTGCACCATGTAGCAACGCAACTAAAATCCCTTTCCTTTCCTTATCTCACTCTATACATCATCCTCACCATGTGTGTGACTTGTTATCATATATTACATTTGTTTGATATAGATATTTCTTCATTGATATCCTGGTTGTATGTATCCTGCTTGTGTAGAGTTTGGATAGACTGCTGCTGATGCTCCACCCCCTCCTCCTTGTTGTTGCATCACGTAGCCACCTTGCGTTCCTCCACCACCACCACCTCCTCCTCCGTTATACCCTCCCACGTATCCACCCTGCATCACTACACCAGGGTTCCTGTAAACAAACAAACATCAAATCATTCTACATTAATCATCAAAACACATATACTCAACAACAAGGAAGTCTCCATATTTTGTGTACAAACTGAAATTAAAGTTCAATTCAGTTCAATCTTTATTTCACTCTCAATAAAAACAGCATACATTAAATATATAAACAGCAGAGCATCATCAATAGAAAACAATACAAGCTATTAAACAATACCAATTATGAGAATGAGGGGTCAACAAAAAAAGAGCATATAGCCTGTATGTTACTGTATCTTTAATGTTGACTTAGATTAAAACCCCAGAGTAGTATAAATCCCAAAATAGATTGCATTGTTTATTTTGGGTTTTTATGGACTACCACAAATATGTATAGGCTTGTGTTGCCCAATCACTGGTTATGATGCTTTAGGAGGGTTAAAACCATGGATTAAGAGGAGAGATAAACCTCTTTTGTTAATTCTATCCTATGATATATTACTTACTGATAGTATCCATACTGTTGGCTCTGTGGCACACCACCCACCACATACTGCTGGCCACCACCTCCCACTGGATACTGCTGATAGCCATACTGACTGAACTGGTTGAAACCTCCTTGTTGCTGCTGTTGTGGTGTCTGTTGCTGGTAAAATTGACCTACTCCTTGTTGTACCTGCAACTGTTGAGACTAATGGAAAGGAAACACAAAGGTAATGTTACTTACATTATCATCAAAGATTATGTAACACAGCCAAAATACCATAGTTATTTACGATTAAATGTAATATAGTGGCAATGCCATCTATGGTTGTCTATGATCATTAAGATATTCTATAGTATTAATGACTGCTTTGAGAGAAATAGTTGTTTTATTACGCTCAAGGGAAGGTTAGAATTGTGCTATTCCCCGAGGCTTGCCGAGGGGAATAGCCCAATTGTAACCTTCCCGAGAGCGTATGAAAACAACTATTTCTCGAATATTAAAGCAGTCATTAATACTTTTATATGCCGAAAAAAAAATAGACTAAAAAATGAAAAATTAAAAATATTTATCATTTTTGTCGAAGACGGGATTCGAACTCTTGCGTACAACAAGAGGTGTACCGAAAACCAACGCTTAGACCACTCGGCTATGGCCCGCCGTTAACTTGCTTGGCAGTTTTCTCCAATATATACATTAAAATGGATTGAAACCGGCTTCGCGTGTGATGAATGCTTCGCAAAAGCTCCATATACGGACTCTTCTTTTACTTTTGCAATGCATATTGGCACGAACTTAGATCAAGATCTATCGGCAGATGTTGTTTTTTTGTTTTTGGAAGTTTATTTTCGTCTTCATGTCAACAATGCAAGATAAAATTGTTGGTAAGATCGATCGAGATTCAATTGTATTGAAATTACCGACCAATCCTTCGCACACATACGGCATCCTCCATCGCTCAAACCATTTTTTAACATGTAAACCTATGGGGTAACCATGGAGGCTGACCAACTATTTTTAATAACCATGGTTATTAAAAATATTGAAATGTTTTAAGCATGGTTACCGAGAATTTTACAGGAACAGTTGAAGTTTATGAATGCAATTCGACCAATCAGATGGCTGGATTTCTTAAGTGAGGTATATAATATTGAATATCACACCAGTTCCATGATTTCTCAAAGACTTCCTAATGGAACTCGGTGTTATTTTGCTCTGGTTCATAACATTACAAACCAGAGCAAAATAACACTGAGCTCCTGTAGAAAATCTATTTATTCAGATGGTCATATCTCAGCCAATACTTAACATATTCAATTGGTTTTCAACATTTGGACATCAATTTTGATGCTCTTTTAGAAAATGAAGAAAAAATTGAGAAATTCTAAAACTAGATTTTTGATGACGTCACACTTCACCACTCTATACCAACATTACATGGACATCATCATGTCATCTGCCGTAACTTACCGGTGCCTGTGGCTGCTGAAAGCCAGATGATTCATTACTCTCCTTCCCCCAAGAACACTTCACTACATGGCCCTCTATTGGTGATCCATGGACAGATACTATAGCATTCGTTGCACTCTCATGATTTGCAAATCTGTACCGGAGAGAGAGAGCAAAGGATATTAGTTTTGAATCTGATAACAGTAATGTACAATTAAAATGCATGTTTTACTGATACTGTACACAGACATTCTACATATAGCAACCTGGTCGGTATCTCACAAAACCATCATAAGTCTATGCTTATGGACTTCCTATTAAAAGTTAAAACACGAGGTTTAAATTAACAAGAGTTTCAGTTAGATGTCAGTGAACATTGACTTTTATGATGGCGAAGTGAAGTGCTGCCCAATATTCTCAGCAGAACTTTGTCCAAATCAAGAGAAATATAGTCTTACATGAATAACAGCATACTAAGGATTGATTTGTAAAGAATAAAGCTATCTTGGTATGTATTGACATATTTGTTATAACCCTTGTCTACAGACTTTGTCAACATAACCACAAACATTCTCCCCCAATTTTCTCAAATCATCTTCAAGACATAGCGATCACTTAGTATCTTTACATGTATATAAATATATTCATACACAAATGTATACTTGTGTAAAACATTGCAATAAATCAGAAGATCTTCAAAAACAGATCTGCCATTTCTCCCGTTAAGATTAAAGATCAATTTGGTGAGCCTCATTGAGTGATTCTGACTGGTTAAAAGTAAAATTAGATTTTGGAGTTGATAAAAACCTTTCATGCATGAAGCCCAGAACATATAGAATAATATAAAATCCTACCTAACAAAAGCAAATGCCTTCTCTGGAAATGTTCTGACTTCCTGAATCGCACCAAAAGGTCCGAAAACCTTCCGGAGCAAATCCTCTGCTAAACAAAGAAAGGAGGAAAATAAATTATTAGGTGTGTACTATAAACATAATTTTGATATCCATGTATAGTTCCAGCAAGTGCTTGTTAGAATATGGGTAATGGGTACAAGACTGTGATGTTGCTTGCACATGTACTTCTAAAGAGCCACCATTACATGATTCTCATAATAGTAAAAGAATGAGTAAAAAAAAAGAAGATAATAATCTCTTTTAAATCCATTATCCTTCTTCTATTTAACCATTTATCTCTTAGACACACATGATCAGACTATACTGCATACTACTAAATTATATTTTAAGGAAACAATAATTTGGAAACGACTTCAAAGAAATCATTAAAAAAAACCTCTATATTCATGTTGGTATCAGTCAAAGTTTGTATGAATATAACATTTAAAGATCATCGCAACAGGAAAATGCACTGCAGTCAAGAGATGAGTCAAATGTGATCATTGGATTGTCTATACCGCTCTAACTAATGTACTTGTAGGCTCCACTTAAAAAATCTTTTGATATGAGTACTTAATTACAAGAGTTAACTCTTTCCTGATATCAATCACCAAGATTCTTCTAATGAAGGTTAACAATACTAAGTGAAACTGTAATGTTAGGTGTGATGGACCAAGGAAATAAGATATTTTTACCTGAGAATTTGAATTGGAGACCACCTACATAGACGGTGCAGTTGTTGGGACTAGTCTCATTCAATACTCTCTCATAGTCCTTGGCTGAAATAAATAATACAGACACATTAATTAACCTGTTATTCTCCTATGAACAAATAATCATAAGATTAGAAGTAGGTACTTATATAATATGGACTGGCCTTGTGGGAGATACCACATAATATTTCCCAAACTAGAACCATATTGCCCCGAGTCAAAGAGGAGGGCAATATGGGTCTTGTGAGGGAAATATATGTGGTATCTCCCGAAAGACAGTCAATATTGTTATTGTTATCTAAATCAGACATCTAGAGCAAATACATACATGACAATCTCATAGAACTGAACAAACTTTTTCAAACCAGCACTGTGCATCCAGCTGCTTGACAAAATTTTCGATACACTGCAAACAGTGTACCCAATTTAGAAACGATAAGCAAATTGTATAGATTTTCTACATGAACTATCAACCTTGTTTCCAAACATTCCACAAAAGTACTTCCCCTTTTTTTTGTATTATCGGTGTTTCATTCTTTTTGAGAATATTTACGCCTTTTCCTTTTCTTCTTCTTTTGTTTACTATGTGTAAATCATAAATCTCCATTGAAGTTTCCTACTGAAGTAGTGATCAACATTTTAGTGCATTTGGTTGACATGCGGTATGTGCAACAATAAAAATAATAAAAATAATTTCAGGAAATGTAACGGTTGGCAACTCTGCATTTGGATAATTCTTAAGCCTCACATTATACGGGCATCATCACAATTAAACCTTGTTTACTTCGGTGTCAACTCTTTATTATGGTCATTGCTCTTTTTGCAAAGCTTCTGCTGGACTTTGGAACAAACTACCATTACATGTCAAAAATGTCAGACTGTCAACCAATTCAAAACTTGTCTTATGACACATTTATTAAAAATTGCTTTTGATGATTAACTTACTCTGTTCACATTGATGTATATTTTGGTGGTATTGTAATATTTCATATATATTGTAATTTGTAGGTTTATTTGTAATTTTTTGTTTTGTTTAATATGTAATTGTTTATCATCTCTTGATGAGAAGCACATACATACATACATACCTTCAATCTGAGGTGGTTTATGAGATGTTGGTTTCCTAGTCGCCCAGCCTGTACGGATTGCCTTCATTCCAGGGTACTGTGGTAAGATGGCTCCATTCATCTCCTTGATAGCACATTGAGCATCCTATAAACAAAATCAAACAAACAAATAATGAACTCTTCTTAAAATACTTCAAACAGGATTAGTTGAAACAAATATGTAGAACAAAGATGAAAACAAAATACACTGTAGTTGAAACAACTGAAAGGTAACTCTGTAGAATGTTAATTTAGATTTGTAAAGATACAAGAAAGAGCACTTCCATCGTTGAAAAAACCAGTGAATAACAACTAATTAAAATATTGACGAACTCTGATATGAAGTTACAAGTTTAAGGGGAAAAAACAACAACAAGGCCACAAAATGTATATAGAATATGACAGATTATCACATGTGAAATGAAACTGTGTGTATAGTGAAGGCCCAAGTGTCCTAATTCATCCATAACCGCTTAAGAACAGAAGGTACGTCTTCGTACCTTTCTAACATCAATGCTGCAAAAGTTGGTAAAATAGGATCTTGACAAAATATTTTCAAAACTATGTTGCTCACTCATTCAAGATGGAAAAAAAGAAGAAGTTATCACTGGAAAGTAAGCTCTCTCCTTACAATCCGATCTTGTGAGAGATTCATACAGATAAGGAATTTGCTGATATTCGTTTTTCACAAGCCATATAAGTATGGTATACATGTACATACATATATGTGCACACATGTATTAATACAGTAATTGTAAACTGGTCTTAACTAATTGTGTTCATGTACTTTTGTAAGTCTGAAGAAGTCTGCAATCTTGGAGACCTGCTTTTTCCTTTTTTAAACGATGGCTTGATATCCTCCCCCCCCAAAAAAAAATATATATATATATATATATATATATATATATCAAAAAGTCGACATAAATTAGTGTTGATGATGATCGATTGCTCTAAAATAATGATATCATAATGATTAGAATATGAGGCATTTCACTTTCAGTGACGTCTTATCCATCCCCATTCCCATGGATTTATCTTTAGTGCAAAACTCCTATAAATATTTTCCTCAACTACCCCTGATCGTATTCCAAGAGATGCAGTAGCCCATTTCATTCACCCCTCTGCCCAGACCAGGACCATAGATTAAATAATTCCCAATTATTATATTCAACATATCTCGCACCTATAACTCCCCAATACTATAGCACTTCTTCCCTATAACAAATGATCTGCAAATTGTATATCAATCATCGCTTCATTCCAATACGAATGAACTCCATACAGCTCAATGATGTTGCACCCATAATGAGATAGCAATTAGACTAATACATGCTCTAGCATGCATCGCAGGTGAAGCCACATAAATAATTATAATAAAAGGCCCATATCATTCTCCATCCACGTCTGTGCTCTAGACATTCATTTTTACATTAAAATCTCATTACAAAATGAAACTGCTATGCTCACTTTTTTCAAAAATCCATGTTTATCATCAGCTATTATGCTTTTGCAAGCAGTTGCCAAACTCATTTCTGAACAAAGGGGTCAGGTCCTAAACCAATAATTTTATATTTCAGTGTATCCTAACTCTTTATCAAAATAGTCTTTATATCTTGTCTTTTTATCCTCTAATTTCTTTTCCCAAATGACTTACCATTTCTTCTCATATAATTACATCGCCATAATTTTATTTTTTCTCAAATAATGACATATGTATCATATATTTTTCCTTAGATAATGACATAGATCTGCCAATATTTTTTGTGAAACTTTCAATTAATTATACATGTACATGTAGCTATACATTTTTTTCACTAATGATTATATCTGCATAATATAATTTTCAAAAGATAACATCTCTGAAATGATTTCATATCTTTTTTGTCATTTCTTTCTTACCTCTTCTTGCTCAAATGACACAAATCCATAGCATCTAGACTTTCCTGTTTCTGGATCTCTCACTACCCGAGCATCTCTGCAACACAAACATAACAACATTGCTAAACATTAACTTTTGCTTGTCTTTCTCTTAAATAGTAAAACTGGAACCAATTCCTAAAAACAAAAACAAAAGCGCAGAGGTTCAGTATGTTACTGTACATGTTTGTTACCTAGGTCTTGATACAAAAATATCAGTGCCCAAACCTGATTTGACCATGAATTGAAAAGCTGTATTCATTATAGAAATCTACTTGTGCTTTAATACCATTGGGACATTATAGATTTATATTGGGAACATTAGTTATTCATCTCTTCTTCTTAGCAAATTATTGTATCAGATGTCCCCTTTTCCTTCCCTTTTCCTTGTAACTTTCTCCTTCTTTATTTCTATTTATTGGTTTTTATTTTATTGGAAGAGATTTTAGGGCCAATTCTGCATTTCATTATTCACATCAAGTAGCACTCTCTAAAAAAAAGAACCCAAATCATTTACAAAAAAAAAATAAAGGCATTTGCAACAGTATCTTGTTGAATTAAGTCTTCTCCATGTCACTGCATGCGTTCAAACTAAATCTTCCCTTAAAAATCATGTTTCTAATAATAACCGCTGTAGGCACTGTTCTACTACAATCTGAACCAAACCTTTTGCATTCTAACCTAACCTATCCTATCATGTAAATAAAAATATCCTTGGTCAACAACACTGCCAAGACCAAACAGTCGCAATAAAAACAAAGAGAAAAAACCAAACTGTCAAATAATATGTGAATAAGATAGAAACAAATATGGAGAAGTCATACGTGGCTCGCTCGCTTTATTTTTGTCGGAAGGCCCTTTCACTTTGTTTGTCCACCAACCAAGTCGGGCTAGCTGCACCACTGAAAATTCGGAAACCGACAGAAAATTTGCTGAGAGGTAATAAAGAACTACTAACTGGTACACATCACACTAAAAATACAACACAAAATCAAAGGTGTGGGGAATCGGTGAAACTTTTCTTTTTGGGGAACTAAAATCTACTGTGTGTTGATGAAAAAAAAATAAGAGGGGATAAAATAAACACTAAAAAAACATTATTTGAAGAAGAAAAAAAATTGTACATATAATGGAATATGTGCGAGAGAACATAAATGTACAGTATACACTCTGAAATATATCCTTGTAAGTATACTTTATTAGGCTACATTCAATGAGTTATCATGGATGTAAAATGAAATTCTTACTGGTCCTGAATAGTGACAGATTATCAAATAATTTCTGATATTAGTGTATATATGTGTTGTGAACTGAATCACCATTAGGAGAAGAAAAAAATTGAAATAAAAAAATTGAAATAGATGAATGGATAATAATCACGGCATATCCTAACCTAAACAGGGCTTTCATGCAACTCATGCATTAACCAATAAATACCATAACAAACAACAAGCCAGCATAAATATAAAGGCTCATTACACAGGGACAATAGCAATATGGATTATACATTGCATTACACAAGACAACATCTACACCAGAAACATAAAATAATCCTTTCAAATTCTTAATTGGCAAAATAAATGGGAAGGGGGAACCAAATTTGCTGAAAAGATTGCCGAGAGGATACAGACAAGCAAAAAAGAAAAAAAGAAAACCGTGAGGTTTTAAGTTTACAAAATTCTGACAAGAGAAATCTTTCCAACAACCAATTTATTTAAAAAAAAATATTTAACAAAATTAAAGGAGAGGGGGGGGGGGGGCAGATTTCCTGTAGCAATGCTCATGAGAAGAAGACATGAACAATAAAATCAGATGCTGATATTCACCCCCAGAAAAAAACTACTTTATCCAGAAAACTACCATCAAAACTTTTTTCAACATCCCTCTTCTACGAAGTATACAGAGTCCAGTGGTTTGAGGAAGGTCAAAAGTCAGCTAGATTATTCCCCATCTGTTGTTGTTGTTTTTTTATTTGACAATTATTTGGATTAATTTTTGAATGATTTTGAGGGGTCTTATTTCATTTGATTTTGTGCACTAAATACACGAGATCAAATTACATCTAACTGTGTATGAAACTGTGTATGAATATGCATCATTTTGAAATGAAATACAAAATGTGATGTAATATGTCAAAATAGGCTTGAATTGTTCTGCGGTCAGAGAAATAGATAGGATTATCAGATATGCTAACTAATTCAAATTATTACTACTACTGCTACTACTTCTACTCCTACTCTACTACTTAATAAATAAATCGTTTATGTAAAAATTGATTGATTAAAAACTCTACGTAATATAGTTGATATACATGGTAGAAAGGAAGATTAATGTCAAAGATAAGTTCGAGTATAAAAGATAGTCAGTCACTTAGTCAGATAAAGAGACATGATAAAAGATCACAACAGAAGTGATTTTCTGGAAATCCATCCCTATTCTCATTACTAGAGTGAAGAGCTGGAATTAAGTTCAGCTGTGTATTTTAGTTAAAAATGATACAACCTCATTTGGGTCCTTCTAGTAGGAGGTCAGAGTGATCCGAGAGGGAGGGTGACCCTCTGGAGCACCTTTTGGGTGTGCTCCACAGGAGATGGAAAGATAAAGCGCACCACATTGCACTTGCTCTGAAAACAGTGGATTGCCTGCCTTAGAAATAGCACTCTGGAAGTGACATTAAAACTTGGTTGTCTCTTTATGTGAATTGAGAAGGGACTTTGTAATAATGCAGGGAATGTACTATAGTAATGTTGAGCCAATAGAACCTCTCAAAACACAAGACCTACTACACTACAGGTCATGCCAATAGACTGTACAGAGTAAACATGTATACAGCAATTGCTAGTGGCCCTCCCAGATAACCACTGTAGCTCCTGCTTGTAATGAGAATGGGGTCATAGAGTCTTCCTACAAAACAACTCCCAAGATCCAATGATTCTGATCCCAGCTACATGTATAAAACATAATGACTTTCCTATGGATCTAAAGGGTGCAAATTCTGTATTTCATAATTCATCCTTGTGATGAAGTATAGAAAAAAGTTTATAAGACAAGTTGTAGACTTGATGTCAAGTTGATTCCAATCAAAGCATAACAAAACAAGTGAAACAAATCAGGGACAGCTTGAGAAGATCTAACTTAGAATAAGAATAGTAGCTAAGAAGATGAGAATCATGTGTTTCAGGTAAGGCAAATATTATTTTCCGGCCTTAGATTTTTTGGGGGTCAAAATGGCATTACTTTCAAAAAGGAAATTTAAGAAAGTCTTTTGGCATTCTGGATGATCCAAAATACCTCATCTCATCAATATTTACATTCTTTAGATGTTATAAAGTTGAAGTATGGAACGTTCTGTTTCTCCCATTTTACTCAAGGCTAGACTTCCAAAGGAAACACAAATTCATACAGAGTGTACGGATGAAAATAAATTCAAAGGAGAGAATAATCCCATCTCAGCCAAGGTATTCATTTCTAAAAGGATTTTGAGTTCTAAAGGTTGTATAAATTCAACCCTTTATGCAGCCCATATCTAATCACATATATTATATATGATTAAAAAATGACCCGCATAAAGGATGTTACGACTTTCAACTTCATCAGCAATAACAAATAGTGGCCGAATATGACTATTACTATATCAGATAGGCTTCCAGTCCAACTATTGTTATATATATGATATTAGTCTAAGTGAAATTTTTGGGGGTTTGTGATCACCGAGGCGTATACACTTTGAAATACGAAGTTCAAGAGTGAGATTTTGGAACGTTTCAGTGTTCAAACTTACGCCTTATCATTGAAGTACTCGTAAGTTCCCTATCACAGAACTATTGGAAAGCAAATGTTTTCCACATATTGGCTTTAACTGTCAAGTATGATGTATGGACTTATGACAACATTAAACATGAACGATGACGTACGATTAGGCTAACAAAGCTGGCAATTCCTTTGACAAACTAGTGAGAAAAAAACTACCACTGAATCTATATTGAACTTTATCTAATATTCATACCAGCACAATATATTAGCTTGGACCTTTCTGAACTAGGTGATTGTACATTGAAAGAGCTATCATAAATCTAGTTTACAATTGAAATGAAAATAAAATTTAACATCCAAAAATCATCAATATAAAGTTTGTAAATGATATCAATCCCATTTTTCCTGAGTCAAATAAACCCATGTTTTATAAAGAAGAAAATGGCAGTAATCGTGTGTAAATAAATGTATCTTGGTATATTTCGTTTATTTGTATTCAGCTAATACTTTGATATGATATTGTGTTCTAGCCCAAAATAACAAATATAATAATAAATAACAAGATGTATAATAGGATAAGAAGAAGATAGATGATACACAATTAATATTATATTTTGAATTATATGATGTTATGGATTCCATTAATATATCAATCTCCAACCATTACAGAGTTGTATATCTTTAGAGTGTATGGATTATGTTAAAACTTAAAATAGAATAGAACTTCAATAGAACTGTTTATCATGCAGTAAAGTCATTGGGTTGTTTGAACCAACCAAAATAAATAATTACTCAGATAGAAAACATTCCCTACAAATATATGATCTTGAACACTCACTGTAATTTGTTGTTTTAATCACAGGGACTATCATTTTGGAGGTGCATTATTAAATCAAAGGTATATAACATGTAGAATGTTGTGCAGAAGATTAATGCTTGAAGGGCTATATTTTATGATGATAATATTGGTATATGATAGAGAGCTGATATTGATTATGTCACATAAGTGCATTTTTCCTTTCCTATGCATTTGAACTAAAACTAGCATATTGGTCAATATCAATATAGTTTTCACCTTAATAGATCATGTGATGTAGTCTCAAACAATCACTTGTCTGTATTAATTAGGCCAGTGAATTATAGGAGAAGTAGCAAGTACATGTGTAGGCAGGTACCAAATACACAAATTATATCATTTCTTCTAAGGGTGCAATGAATGGAACCAGAATTTAATTTAACCAACAAAAACAAAACAAATCAAATCAAAATAAAAGGGAAATAAAAAGCAAAAAAGAACCATTGAATGAAAACAGTTTTTAATAAAAAATACTTGGGCAGTGCAAGATTGATTTACCTACATGCAATCAACCACATGAACCTTATATATGCAAAGGAGCATATTATGCAGTCATAATTCAAACATGTATACATAGCAAGTAGTTAGAAGAAAAAAAAAAAAAACGCTTAATAATGTAACCAACTTTCTATTGTTTTCCCTTCCTATTATTCATAATTGATGCTTTATGATTTTACGACAGAAATTTGTGTGGCCTCGTGCACCAAGAAACATCATTAACCTGTATTAATATAAGTTTACTTCAAATCAAATTGGCAATGTTTGTTATATAGTAGAAGCTATGTTGCACATGAGGTAGAAGGGAGAGAGATAACTTACGTGATACTTCCATATTTATCAAAGAGTGCTCTGAGTTCAGCTGTCTTCATCTCTTGCACAAGGTCCCCAACAAACACATGATGATGATCTGAAACAACAACATTATTATATCATATAATAAAACATATATAAAACAAATTTTGTTTTTGGAGTTTCCTAAATCATTCCCAATTTATCAATATCATTTCACAGTTCATTCTTACATTATCACAGTAAGGTGTTTGTGTTTTTGTTTTTTTTGGGAGGGGGGGGGGTGTTGGTGGATTGATTTTATATAATCTGTACTAACAAACACCAAAAAACACATTTTTTAGTGCTTGTTCCTCTTCAAGATGGTAAATTAGCAATCAAACTTTTCGCGGCTCATGTAATTTCTTCCAAATCGGCATATGCTGGAGTACAAGTATTATAGCTTGCTGGTGATATTGCGCTAAGGGGTTGTTTGTGGCACGTTTGTGACTTTACTCGCTCAGATGCATGCTATTTCCTTGGTAACAGGAAACAAATTCATGCAATTTTTATTACCTATCTATTATAGAGTGGCAGTATAAGCGTAAAAACCAGTAAATATACTGCGCATTAACAAAAGTAGACTTTCAAAGACAAAACAAAAAGATAGTTTCTGTCTTTTGAATTTTGTTTTTGAGCTTTACTTTACACGCATCATGATTACAAATGAGTAAGAAATTTGGTAATGCGTGGTCAAATTATGGAATAAAAATGGACGAGCCATTGCAGTAATGTAGGCTGTGTATGGGAGTTAACTCAGTACCAAAATGTGTGCCATACACATGACTGTTCTAAATTACATACACAAAAAGCATTATTTTGTCCCCACATTTATATCTAGACTGGAATAAGTAAAGAGGGTGTTTTGGGTTCAATCATTTGCGAAATCAAATGTTACGGGTGTTGGTAGTACAAAATGTATGATTTTAAGTTTGTTTGGAAATCCTAGAAATACATAAATTAATCTAGATAGGATTATTCTAATATGACTAACTTTGCAAGAGCCTCCTTCAAATGGTATAAATACAGGATGTTTAACAAGACTACACTTTTCATGTTTTCATGTTAAAAAGGGGATACTTCATAACAAAATATATAATTGTTTTCTGCAACTAAGATTTCCTGAAACAGGGAATAGTCGAGTGTTACATCTTTTATTCAGAGTAGATACATAAAGGACTAAAAACACACAGAGCAGCTCAAATGAAGCTAAAAGTCTGGAATTTGAGGCAAAAATCACATTATATCTGGTGACAAATGTCATGGGAATAAATATGAATGGGAATGATGACCAATGTCTTGGACTGCATGTTTCATATGAAAGCTAAACCTATATCTACAATGCTCCAAATATCTTCATTGATAGATGTTATCACCTCAGAAAGAAATCCCAAAACAGAGGTGAGGTGGATCTAGAATTTTGTGAAGGGAAGGGCATTTTTCTGGGAAATCCCTAAGTTTTTCCAAGATTAGAATATTTGGGGTCTGTGCGCATGGAAATTTAGAGGCCTAAAGTTCATCGTATTAGTGCCAAGAGCTGTCTGAATTTGTGGTCCATAATGCATTAAAAGCTAATAGTGAAAACAGAAAGAGTTTCCGTATCTAACCAGTACGATCCATCCAGTATACAATGAGCAGAATATTACTGGTATACATGAAGCTGTTTTTTGCTACAAACTAGGAAGGCCAGTATTAAATTACCATAAATCTGTGCAGAGATTAAAAACAAGCTTTGTACAATATGATACAGAAGGATTGTATGGAAAGTGACTTCTGCTGGTACTCAATACTGCACACATTTCAATGTCCCATAAGGTCATGTTAGACCAGCATTGTACATGTACATGTTCAGTAATACACCATGTACTATTATTAGAGGCCAAGCCAGGGAGAAAAAAAAGTTAAAACATTTCAGGGGCTACTTTTCAAGCTTGCTTGCATGAAAATAATACTCTTTAATTTGTTTTGCATTGAACTCTATGCAATTTTTGGGGGGCTTTTTTTGCATTTCAGGGGGGGGGGGTATTTCGCCCCAGGCCACGTGTATTTTTTTCACTGGGCCAAGCCAACCGTGATAGCAGTTTGCTTTCAAAGAAAGGAGAAATATCAAAGAAACAGAATGGTGAAAGTATAAAGAATGTTGAATAAAGAGGAGTAAAGTTATGAACATTTGACAAGTAAGATGTCTATACAATTATATGGACATCTCAAATTGGTGACGTATTCATTAAACTGTGATGTAGTGTGGGACAACTTTCTGTCCATTGATGAATCACTAATTCCCCAAGATTTTTTCCCTTAGAGATATTGTTAATTGGATGTTTTACACCTAATAAAATAATATTTACTAATTGATAACATCATGAAAAATTAAAGATGAAGTTGAGTTCTGGTCATGCGATTGCATTGTGAAAGAAACGGTGTGGAACCGACCAGAAAAGGTTGATCATCTAGCATATAAGAATTTGTGTGTATTGCAAGGTTCTGGAATCATCAAAATGATAAGAAATTTGGCCAAGTCTTGGTAAAGTTACAAACACTTGCACAGAAAGATGTATATGGGACTACACGAACACGTGGCGTAAAAAGACGGCCCCCCCCCCCCCCGATTTTTACGATGTTACATGCATATTTAGAATATGAAGGCATTTGAAGAGCCATGCTTTTCAGGGAACATGTCTTAACTGATGTTCTTCCACACTTATATAATAAGAATGAGTAATGCTCACAAATTATTTTTCACCTCTTCCCAGAACTCAACCTTCTCTTTAAGTCTCCGTCATTATATTTGTTAGAAAAAATGGGAAAGTTGTCCGATACTATAGCATAGAGACATTACCTCTTAGGCCTGTTGATGTCAAGTGATTCAAATTTCAAAAAATTCTCATCATCAATATTGTTTTTTTTTATCTATTTTGCTCATTTTGAATCCTGACCTAAGGCTCATAACATATCATATCTAATACTCACGTGTTGTGTCCTTTCTTGAACCTTGTGTTGTAGCCCAGTTTACTTTGATAGGCTGAAAGACAAAATTAAAAAACAAAAGAAAGAAAAGTTAATGGAGGATTTAAAAAAAGAGCATATAATAGAGGACTACCTAATGCATGGTTCAGAGTTACAACCGTAGCTGTAATGTTTTTGTTGTCAAATAAAAAAGATGAATGAATGAATACCTGTGGGGTCAATGATAGAGCGGAATACACAGACTCTCCTGAAGACATACTGAAAGGACAGCATAAGACCATGTGTACTTTTAGGAAAGTTTACTCAAAGCTTAGGAGATAACTTTATATTAACAAAGAAAGAAAGGAGTTTAATATTCCACAATTCAAGGCATTACATATATTCATTCTCTATCAATTTTGAGTCCATGCAGGTCTAGTGCTAGAACACACAAACCATACATGATCTTACATTGAGATGTCACTCAGCAAGATGTAATATCAAACATTCATATTGCAGGCTTTCTCTAAACATGATGTTACCCATCACACTATAATAAAGATGACCTGTACCAAAATAACATTATAATTCTGACATACAGCAATGGAGGTAACAGTGTAAAGATTGCAATCCATGGTATTAAAAAACTTGCAGGCTAAAAGAGCATAGACGTATATTTTGAGGAAAATATTCGGATTTTGTTTTCCCTCTGTTAATTTATAAAAAGCAATCACAATGAGAGGGTGAGAGAGGTGATATTGCTTTGTCATAATTCCTTAATTCATTAGAATGAATTATAAATGAGTCTCCGGCCTCCCTCAACACACCTTAGCTATAGAAGCAATCCCCTTACAAAGCACGTAATTTATTAAAAATGACTAAGTGCTGACATCCATTATTTCTAGCGTGCTGTCGCGCTTGGGTGCTCATCCCTACCCAGTTCATTCCTCCTTCTCGGTATACGATGCATAGTAATCAGCTAAAACCCAATCATGTACACAATACTCTCAGAGCAGTGTCTGGAATAATAAGACTATTAAACCCAGGGCTCTCTATTTCAAACTGTTTCTGTTGCACATGTAGTCTGACTTCTGCGCAAAACAATAATTTATTATGTACAAAGTTTATATTTGTAACATACTCTCCTCACAACATCATCTGTGCAAGATGCTCCAAATTTACTGAAATCTATCAAAAACTACTACAGGTATATGTGTAATTTAATCTTGCCATCTCTACAAATGTTTATAAAAAATAGATGAGCTAATTTCATGAAACCAAAAGACCTGCCTATGACAAGTAGTGGATACTCCAGGAATTGGGGCCTTTGATTAAAGTGATGAACTCCGGTAAGAACTTGGAGCCTGTAAGAGCTCTGGAATCCCTGTATTTTGTGTCTATGTCTGGTTTTCGATATCTCCAGAATTTCCTTAGGCCTTTCAAGGAACAAGGTGGCCCAAGTAATCATTTTGAGCCTGTGCAAGTACTAGGTGCCCCAAGTAATCACTTTGAGTCTATGCAAGTACTACAGTAGGTGCTCCGAGAGCAATCACTTTGAGCCTTTGCAAGTTCATGTACTAGGTGCCCCAAGTAATCACTTTGAGCGTGTGCAAGTACTACAGTAGGTGCCCCGAGAGCAATCACTTTGAGCCTTTGCAAGTTCATGTACTAGGTGCCCCAAGTAATCACTTTGAGTCTGTGCAAGTACTACAGTAGGTGCCCTGAGAGCAATCACTTTGAGCATTTGCAAGTTCATGTACTAGGTGCCCCAAGTAATCACTTTGAGTCTGTGCAAGTACTATAGTAGGTGCCTCGAGAGTAATCACTTTGAGCCTGTGCAAGTACTAGGTGCCCCAAGTAATCATTTTGAGCCTGTGCAAGTACTACAGTAGGCGCCCTGAGAGCAATCACTTTGAGCCTTTGCAAGTTCATGTACTAGGTGCCCCAAGTAATCACTTTGAGCCTGTGCAAGTACTATAGTAGGTGCCCCAAGAGCAATCACTTTGAGCCTGTGCAAGTACTACAGTAGGTGCCCCGAGAGCAATCACTTTGAGCCTGTGCAAGTACTACAGTAGGTGCCCCGAGAGCAATCACTTTGAGCCTGTGCAAGTACTATAGTAGGTGCCCCAAGAGCAATCACTTTGAGCCTGTGCAAGTACTACAGTAGGTGCCCCGAGAGTAATCACTTTGAGCCTGTGCAAGTACTACAGTAGGTGCCCCGAGAGCAATCACTTTGAGCCTTTGCAAGTTCATGTACTACATGTAGGTGCCCCAAGTAATCACTTCGAGTCTGTGCAAGTATTTGATACCCCTTAAAGCACTTGGGAAATGTGTGTACTGTAGCTAATTTGTTGCAGATTTAAAATAAGACTTTCGATCAGAACCAAAGATTTTTATTTGAGCAGAAACAGCAAAATTGCAGAGTAATGAACAAAGAAATAGGAATCCACGTAATAGTCCAACATGATGGCCCCGTAATTTGCACATGCTAGTGGAGCTCCTAAAAATACCATTACCAGAAACCCAAGAACACCTTGCTACATGTCTATTAGTACTCTATTAGTAGAGATGGAAACAAGACGTTGATCTATCTTTTGTGGAGATGTGTATCTGTAAACATCGGAGGAAGCCATTTATTCCATGATAACTTCATTGTCTACGTGAACTAGATCTCTGTCTGTATGGATGGATGAGAAAACGAACACGTGTTGCATTATTGATATAGCAATAAGAGCAAACAGGCAGATTTGCAAACACCGGCATGGTATTTGGATATGAGGACTTTACAGCAGACAATACGGGGAAAAAACACTAAAAAACACCTTTTAAAAGGTCACAGTGCATAGAAGCAGAAGCACATCAAATCTATAGAAATATTACATTTCAAATTAAGAATTAAAGCTGAACTACTCTCTGATGTTAATACTGTTTATATGCATGATGCTGTAGATAACATGTAGTTTTTACTTTAGTGGTACATGTATTAGATGTGTGGTTTCTTTGTTGGACCCTATGTAAAATTCATTAATGAAACACACTGTACTTCTCAAATAACAATGTAATTCATAATGAAACAGCAGGTCAAGTACTATCAATGCACTATTTGGTGGTGAGTATTATTTTAATTTGAGTTTCATGTGAAAAAACCTTCTATTTACAAGTAAAGCAACCCACATGGTTTCTTGAGGTTTGTAGATCCGATCCACATGTAAACTCATCAGGATATTTCATCCTGATTTTTTTCCAGTTTGAAACAGATAACCATTCATCTATTTCAGCATGAGCCCAAGTCAAGCTGCAACACTATTCACAGCATTATTTAATCAATGGTGTCTTAGAAATAGACTAATTTAGTTTACTGAGACCAATGAAAACAAAACAAAACATGAAATTCTAAAAATGTATTATCATATCGCAGCAACTGTTGCCGCAATACCAAGCATGACTAATAAATTAAAAAATCAAGGTAAACAAAATTAAAGATAGTTCAACGCACTTAACAAAAGTGTAATAAACCAAATTTGCCATATGGCATGTTATTCATTTACGACAGTACCAATATAAGCAAAATAGAAGCCCTACATATTGTTATCGACACCCAAATCTATCAAACATTGATACCAGTGTACATCAACATACTATTTCTGCAAACCAGTCACTATGTCAACCCAAGAACTGATTAACAACTATTTCAACTTAGAATGAAGTAAGATGGTTGAATGCAGTCATCTCACCGGTTGTGGCAATGCGGGTTGTACCATGTAAGGGAGGGCTGAAGGGAGAGTATAAGGCACCATAAATAGTCCGCCATCCATCGCTCCTGCTGGTAACGCATTGAGCATCCTATGGGATTGTGAAGGGGGTAGACCTGGTAGAGAAGAAGTCCCAGCTGGTAGATGGGATGATAAAAGACCACAATCTTTCCCCATCGGATGAATAGGAATCAGATCGGTATGGTAGTAGGAAGGATCTGTGGTTTGCCACATGGCCAGGCTACAACAAGTGGTAAGGACGGAGAGCAGAGAGGTACCACGAAGGAACACCAAGCACGGAGGGGTAACGATAGCAGTGGTACACACACCCAGGCAGGCACTCAGGCAGGAGCTGGTAGAAAGCACTGCTGGTGGAGGTGGAACTTCCGTACTAAATGTGGTCTCAGAAAGCACACGTGTGCATAAGTTTTGCTACCAGCCTCCCACCAGTATACATACGTTGTGTTGAGAGTGAGACACACTCCTCAGTCACACACAGGGTCTCTTCAACGGCTCATCGGCTATCAACCAGCTCATCCATCTGGGCAACCTTTCCAACACATTTGCATATCAGCCCTCATTTTGATAGCCATCAACCAAAACCAACCAATTGAGATAAAAGGCGTATCAGTGACGTATTGCACACTAGGGGAGGGGTAATATTTCATTGTTCATACCGTAATCCTTTACAAATAAAGGAGTAAACTTTTGTGAACCATTCCACCCAACACCAGGGCACGAGTGCTACACAGCTGTTGTTTCTACATGAATATTTGATAACAGTAACACTATGCCTGTATAAATATGGGAATATTCATACAAAAGGCTGGGGTTGGTAGACAACAAACACCATTCTACTCTACATGTTTTCACAGAATGAATATTCTTTCTTTCTCTTTCTTTCTCTTTCTTTTTTTCTCTTTCTCTTTCTTTCCTTCTCTTTCTTTCTTTCTTTTCTCTTTTCTCCCTCTCTCACTGTCTCTGTCTTTCTTTCTTTGCTAATTCTCTTTTTTACTTCCTTGGCTAACTTTCTCATTCTTTTCCTCTCTCTTTCCCACTTTATACATTTATTTCCCCGTTTCTCTACCTACATGTACATGTCATCTGTCCCAAGCCAGAAGGGTATTAACTCAGTCTTAAATCATATCAATTAAGGCTCTTCTGAGTCTATGCAGACAACTTTTTATTACTTTTATTATAATTTGATTTTCACCATATAGGAAAAAAGAAGATGTTATTACACTTGGAATGACTTCATAGGAATCAATGCATATTGTTTGTGGTGTTATTGGTAGTTCCACGTTGTACCTTTGAAGTACATGCACAAAGATAAGTGCAGGACATGTAAGAGGGAGGGAGGAGGGTCCAGAAAGATTGGATATGAAAGATACTGGTATACCACGACAATGTAGGACATTACTTATTGTCTCTCTACATAGCCCTATCTTTTCACCATAACATATGGTTTACAAGTCATGTTCATAATAATACGCTCCTTAATTCAATCTGAATAAAATCAAATCTTCCTATTCAACATCTTACAAGTGATGCCTTGTAGAGAGAGCCTCATGGTACAATGAACAAAGAGTCTGTTTATCACAACTACTAAGTCTCCACACGTGCTATATGTATGCTTGAACACTATCTATCAGTAGGGATTTGGAAACATATGTTTGAATTCACAGGCTACACAAAGAAAATTGGACTCCATGGTTCAATATCACATGAGTGATTGATAGGCAGGGGCATAGTTATTTCTCTAATTATAATTCTTTTTATCAAAGATGTATTTGCATTCATGCCACCTCACTCAAGATGTGATTCCTCCAGAAAGCAATCTGCTGTATTTATACCATGTCTGTAGCCAGAAGCCTGGACTGTAGACTAACTCATTATTCTACCATTCAACAATGATTACATGGTGATTTTCTTTTGTCATGGTAAGTTGGTTATGAAAAGATAAGAAGACACATTAGCAATATCTAAATTTCAAAATGATTTTCTCTACTTTTTTCCTTCTTGACATAAAGTAGAATTAGAATGGAATTATAGAATCATAATTGCATGTGGCACAATAACACTATGGTGTGCACCTATTTCACTATTCAGCAATATCTACGGTACACGTTTGAAAATCGCTAAGTGATATCTCCAGCAAAACATGGAAATGTTTGCAGGTCCCAATTAACTAATTTATGCTAATGAGCCTTCAGTATCATAACACCAATATCCATTTCACACAGACTTCAGACACTTGATTTCAGGACAATTTTTTGTTGTTTTTATCGGTCAAACGGAACTGACCCTTAAGTTGCAAGCAGAATAGATTGGAATTGAAAGCAGTATGAAAAGTATCCATCCGTCTAGCTTCTCATATTACCTTTATTTGCATTCTGCCTTACCAGCTGTTGTAGTAAGTAATTATAAATTCAACAATAATGGTACTTGCTACATCCATCCATCTAAGGACTCTACATGTGTAGATGTAAATATTATCCTTCATTTTGTAGAATTTTTCTGCCTGTAATTTGCTGCTGATTGTGAAACAAGGAAGCCATCAATGAAACTATTTATTTCCAGATAAAATATGCACCATTCTTTGAGAGGTAAATCCAATAGTGATAGCAGACTGCTCTGAAAGAGAGCAAGAATGGGAGGAACTTAGTGGAGAAAGTAGGAGTAAAATCAGATAAAGAATTAAAAAGTTAAAACTGTTGAATTGCTACATACATGTATGAATAATTATGGGGGTATTGAGAGTTTTTAAATTCAAGGTTCATTTTTAAGAACACCAAATCAGTTAATCATTGATTTCAAGCATACTTGTATCATAGCCACATTTGGGTAAAATCCCTTTCATATCCCTTCTCGACTAACGTACCAGTAAAAATTACAAACCGAAAGGGTGTTTCTATTTTACATATTATTCTAATAACAGGAAAAAAATTAATTTCCTTTGAATAGCAGCAATAAACTGACGTAGTATGTGTAAGTTACCTAGCATAACAACTAGTGGTTGTTAGCATGTACATGTATTGTACAGTAATACAGAATACGGTATGCTTTTTTAATGAATCATGATGTGCAATTGTTAACATAAATACTGAAAATAAAACTATACATTTTATGATAAATGATGTGAAGTATTTTAGAATAAATTATTTGTTTAGATAATGATTCAAAATAAAAATCTTTGGAACAAATCCTTGTTACAACAATACCTTGTTTTACTTGGTCATATATCATATTCTCTTTGAATTTAATACAAATCTTAATCTGAAATAATCTAAATAATCAGACAAGGCAGAAGCATTTCTGAATTTACATTTTTACATCTGTGTGTCACTGGGTATCTCAACACAGATCCAGAAAAGTTTATTAAACTAAGCAGCTGCTCTTTTAATCTGCTGCTCTTCTTGTCTTGTCATGTCTTTAAAAAAAGTATATGTATATTCTTGGCAAGCCACAAAGCCACAGCAAATTAAAATCAAATTGATTTCTAGTGCTCAACATGTGGTGATAAATTAATAGCCTCCAGTTTGCTGCTCTTTGCCCGTTTCTCAGCAATAATGAACTTTCTACCAATGCAAAATGTATAACATATCATTTACACCTATATCTGGAGAAAAAAAAGGGCTATCAAAAAATTAAAACATCAATCATATTTATGTGCAGACCATCATTTGGAAGAACTGCATGCACTTCCATGTAAATGCACAAGTATACTGACTGAATAACAATATTAATCAGATAGATGTACTAGACCTACGAGAGAACACACATATATCACTTTCCTCATCTCACCACCAGAGGGTGCTAGTCAAATCAAAATACATGATTAATTGATTATAAAGTGTTTATAATTCATACTTATCAAATAAAACTTGATATCTTTAACATCAAGAAAAGAGATACTTGGAGAATTGTATTCAACAGATATTATTTTTAATTAAAACAAATTAAAAAATATACCATATCAATTGAACTGAATACATGTATGCATCAAACAGTCATGTATGTCAGCAATTTTCTTGAAAAATTAGAAATGAACACTGATATAAATATGTTCTTTTATTTTTTTTATGATGCATTTTATATTGATTTATTGGATTATGTTTTATGTTGTATTCTTGAAATCAACACTCTTTACCCAGGTATTTTATTTCTATTTTCATCCTTTTGTTTTTGGTGGCAGTATGATTAATGATGGCAATAATAATAGTCATGGTGGTGATGATGGTGGTGATGATGCTTGGCTCAGGCAATAATTGTTGGTAGTTTTGGTACTCACCGAGACTTACTTCATGTTCAAAGGACTTTGTAGTAGCATGACAGCATTTATTGGCATTTGATTTTGATTATTAATTAAAAATTGATATCCATTGTGCATAATTAATGTTTTTATTATAATTGACTTATAATTAAGACTAGCTGACCTTGCTTTTACTCTGAAATTGTTGCACATAAAAGATATTTTAGTAGTACTGATTGAGATTCAAGACTAGTCGATGCATCCTTTTTAGAAAGACCTTACAACAAAAACTTAGTACAGAGCCCTGCAAAGCAGATTGTCTTATTTTCTTCTTTCTTCTTCTATTTAAAGTATATTCTTCTTGGCTTGAAGATTATCACACAGAAGAGTAGTTTGTGCACAGTTATTCTAGACCACAAACACATTTTGGATGTAAATGTTTTACAGCTACATGCGTAGAGTGTTTCTGCTTTTCATTCCATATCCACTTGTCTCTTGACTGGGCTTATCCTTTAAATTTTCTTTATTTCATCTTTATACAATAGTAATAGGAGCAATCAGAAAAACATCAGAATTCATTGAAATGTTACAATGTCTTTACTTCTTTGTTCTTTCGTAGTGATCCAATGAACATCATACATTTATCTGCTTCACAAAGCAGAGGCCTCATTGCTTTAATATTAAATAGGCTTAATATGGTGAAGGCCATACCATCTGTTCTACTTGGTTATCATACATACATTGCTCTGTTTATTTTAGTTCTCTACATGTTTGCCAGCTTACAGGCAGTACACAGCAAGTTTGATTAAATTCAATATTTATTGGTCATACATGTACATGTTCACAAATGAATGTATATTTGGCATTACAATTAATTCTGTGGCTGGTACAGCATACTTTTGTAATTATACAAGAATGCAAAACATTAATAACTTTTTATAGCTCATCACAGGTATACAATAGCACTGTGTATGTAGGATATCAAAACCAATGGAACATAACAATAACTGTGCATAACAAAGGAAATACAAGCACTACAGATGAGGCCGCACAATGCATAGTCCAGCCAGATGCATAAATAGGGCAATAAAAACCAGAGAGTACGCTTTAGGAGATAATTTATAAAAATAATTAGAGAAGAAACAGATATGAGAGAAAGAGATTGAAGTATGTAGTTACTATTGTAGTAGCAGAGTAAAGGGGAACTATAATTTACATGTTCCTGTATTTGTAAGAATGATGTTAGCTGAAGTAAAAGAAATAGATA